ATTTTAAGGCATGTATACTACACAAAAATATATAGATGTAGCTAGGTATCTAATGAACGAGATATAACAAAAAAGAAATGTGTGATAGTGAGGGAAACACGAGATTCAGAACGGAAGTATGAGAGAGTGAGAGTGCGGGCGCATGAGCTGGGAGGTAGAGTTAGGGGATTCCGTTTGATCCGGTGTTCGAACGCTGAATGTGTGACAGCGAGGGAGACACAAGCAGTGTAAGAGGGCGGGAGCATGTGCTAGGAGATAACGAACATGTTGGGGGATTCTGTTTGATCCGGCATTCGAACGCTGGACGCGTGACAGCGAGGGACACAACAGCAGTGTGAAGGGCGGGAACATGGACACAGGTGTGTGGGGCTGGCCCGGCTGGGAGATACAACAACAGCCGTATGAGTGCACAGGTGCAGGCATGTGGGCTGGGAGACACAACAGCAGTAGCATGAGATCAGAGGGCAGGAGCACAAATGAAGAAAAATTACTCACATTTACATCCTCAACCTCCCATCCAGCGCCATTGCATACCTCCCCATTATCCACCTGTAAGATCATGCTGGAAGGGGCAAGGGGATGGTGAGATTCGAGCTACGGAATGCACGGAGGATGCAGATGCTAGCGATGACATCTGGCGCTAATCGTGGTAAAAATTTAAACTCCGATTTAAACACCGCCTAATCAGTTGGATGATGGATCTCGAGTGTACTGATAAGAAAACACCCCGTTCCAAGTCACAACCATGCCTCCTCAGTCTACACGTGAAGACCTCCTTCGTGCCATTGATCAGGCTTCATTGGCATTAGCCAACTCACAGTATTTGAATATACTCCTGGATGACCAGGGCTCCAACTCCGACTCAGACTCTAATACCGACTCGGACTTAAACTCGCTTTATACCTCGGATGAGGAAGATCTGGCTTTTGCCTCCCCATCCCCTATATCCCCCATGTCCCCTATGTCCCCTATGTCCCACCTTTTGGGCCTCAGTTCAGATATTTCCAGCCACAGTGACCAATCTGACGACTCAGATGACGCTGCTGTGCGTTACGACCGGCTCCAGCACACAATTGCTGCTCTTCGTGATGAGGTAGAGAGGGCACGTGTATTCCACAAGCCTGATGAGCCTCCTCCTCGGGCACCTCAGCTGCATATGCTGGTTCACCATGAGGAACACCGGCCTCATTTGTTTCGCCAGAAACTGCGCGTCAATCCAGAAATATTTGACGATATCCTTGACCAGATCTCCGGTCATCCTATCTTCCATAACCAGTCCAACAATCCTCAGCTCCCTGTCTCCATTCAGCTTGCTATTTTTCTAAATCGTGCAGGCCACTACGGCAATGCCATTTCACTCGAGGATGTCGCACAATGGGCGGGTGTGAGTGTTGGGTCGGTTGTCAACTGCACTAATCGTGTGATGGTTGCATTGCTTGAGGAGCACGATCAGTTTATCTTCTTCCCAGAAGATAACTCTGAGGATACTGAGCTGGCTCGGCGCTTTGCTGAGACACGAACCTGTCCAGAGTGGAGGGGTGGCTATCTAGCCATTGATGGCTCAACTATAGATCTTTTCACCAAACCTGCTTATTTTGGTGAGACATTTTATGATAGGAAATCTAAGTATTCCCTTGGCTGTCAAGTAATGTATTTTTATTTATTTTTCATGGGCAACAATTTAATTTAATTTTAGGCGGTTATCATGCCCCATAACCTCATGATTGTAGATTATTCTCTTGGTCAACCTGGGAGTGTCCATGATGCATATGCTTTTCGATCCACTCGCCTCTATGAAGAGCATGCCAATCTTCTCCCAGATGATCACTGGGTTTGGGCAGACAGTGCATACCCATTGGAGCCATGGTGTATCCCCCCTTTCAAGAAGCCTCGCAATGGACGACTGACAAAGGACCAGAGGACATTTAATTACCACCTTTCTAAGGTATTTTTATTTTCTGCTTTTTTATTATTATTAATGAATTTAAAGATCCGTGTGCGTGTTGAGCATACATTTGCAGTCTTGAAAGGGCGGTTCCAGTCTCTCAGAGAGCTCTGCATCAATATTCAGACAGAGAAGGACTTGCAGGTTGCTGTGCATTGGATTAAGTGTTGTCTTATCCTGCACAACATGATCATCTGCTTTGAAACTCGTCGTCACAAGCAGGATAAAGACTATGATCAGTCTCTGGAGTGGGCTCATACCGAGGGTGAAGCTTTTGTCCCTCAAGAGATTGAGGATCCAGAGGGTAATGAAACAGTGGGTGACAGGTCATATGAAGGAACCCCTGGCCAGGCTACTCGTGCAAGGCTCATGGATCAGCTCTTTGATAGCCCTAGATCAAAAGCACAGCATAGGGAAGGATAAGCATCATGTTCACATTCACCAATGATACATGTACTACTAGTAGTACATCTTGTACAACACATGTAACATCAATCTTACAAGTACCAGCAGAAAAAAAAAGCACCATGTTCACATTCACCAATAGTACATGTACTACTAGTATTACAGCTTGTACAACATCAATCTAACAAGTAACAACAGACTACAAAAGAAATTCATAAGTCAGATAGCAACAGCAGCAAAAAAACGCGACAGCAGAAAGCAGCAATGATGATACAAAAATAAGCCGCTAGCGGACAGTATGATAGGAAGGAGAACAACAGCAGCAAACATGTCAGCTATCAGACGCAGAAGCGGTACTACCGCTCTGCGTCATCTGGTGAAATTGAATCTTCAGGCGCCACATCTCTGCCTCCTTGTCAAGCGCAAGGGCCTGGGCCTCGTGCACTCGGACATCTGTCTCGCGAAGGCGGATTTCCGCATCCTTGGTCTCCTGCTCTCGTTGATGGCTGGCGGCAGCTTGCATGGCCTCATGTGCGCGCGCCTCGCGAAGATACTCGTACTTCTTCGTCTCGCGATGGTAGTCCTTCTTCACATCAAGCTTCGCGAGGAAGCGCTCGTGCTTGAGGTTATGGCGTGATGTGATGTCCGATTGAATACTCCCAATCTCACCATTGACCCTCTCAACCTGCTCCTGAATGTCGGACTTTGCTTTCTTCTTCTTCGACCCTGTGGTCTTCGGTTGCGCTGATATTGAGGTCTGGAGGGTCGGAGATGCAGGAAAATCTGACGATGAAGTGTTGTGAGTCGTCGACGAAGGTGTCGACGAGCTACGAGTCATCCCTGGCGACGACGATGCAATAGACGAAGGTCTGCGTCGTGCGTCGTAGCCAGAGGGCCCCTGAGCACCGAATGCTGCACGGCTGTCGTAGAAAGGAGTGGGTGACTTCTGCGTGATTGAAAAAGGGATGGGGTGGTTAGGAGGAGGAGACGGCGATGATGGGAGTTGTCGTTTTTTCCCGGCAACCTTTGGAGGGCTGTTAAGGTCATAAGTAGGGTGCGGGGCATCAGTGTCCATATCGTCGTCATCCAAGTGGTCTAGTGCATTGCCCAGAGGGGCACGGAAAGCAGCGGAATATAAGTCGTCGTCGTCGTCGTCGTCATCAAGATCAGGAACATTGCCCATAGTGGTATCGAAGTCGGCATTTGGAGGTGCCGGAGGAGCAGGAGGAGCAGGAGGAATAGGAAGAGCAGGGAAATGAGGAAAAGCAGGAGTGGGAGCAGTGGGAGGAGCAGAAGGAAAGGGAGCAGGTGAAGGAATGGGAGCAGCGGGAGCAGGCGAAGGAATGGGAGCAGCGGGAGCAGGCGAAGGAACGAGAGCAGCGGGAGCAGCAGGTGCTAGCAGACGAGGATCAATTTGTGAATCAGTAAATGGGCGGCTATGAGGAGGCAGAACATGAGAGGGGGGCTGAGCCCTGGTAGCACCCCTGGTATGTGCGGAGGGGCCAGCCCTGCCACGCGGACGTACTAGCGCGTACATGTCACCAGCATGGTCAACGCCAGGCTTGGACGATGTAGTTTTTGCTGCAAAGGAGGGATTTGAGTGCCAGATGGCGTCGAGTTCCTTGTACCATGGAAATTCGCGACAGACTTCTTCTACAAATTTGAATCGGTCAAACCGCTAAACAAATAAATAAGAATGCTCACCTTGTAGATTTTTAGTGGAGGCGTCATCAAGAGGGACTACACCAGCACCGGTTGCGCTGAATTTAGCCTTAAGGGGCTTATATTTGTTTTTGAGACTAAGGATCTTATCAGCGCATAGTACAAAAAATATAAACATGACATACCTTGTGATACGGTTGTTGACAGAGTCACAAAATTTCTTCTGACTGTTTGCATATTCCAGCCAATATTTTGCGTGATGTTCGAAGATGACCTGAGCAATAACAGAGTAGATCTGAGACTTGTCCTTTCCCGAGGGACGAGCAGAAGAACTTGAATCCAGAGAGGGAGGTGGTTTCTTGCCATCAGAGTAGAATAAGATACGACAGTCGGGAGGGTGTTCGGTGAGCCAGGTGACCAAGACGTCAGTGAGAGTGTCATCACTCTGCCACTGAATCGTCAGCTTGGGTTTTGGATCGGGGGGAGGTGGTTGTATTTGAGATGTCGACGGCTCAGGATCCATCGCTCTAGAGCACACTGGAGGGTTGCCTCCAAGTCGTGCAGAACGACGGAGGCGTTGTTGGCGAACAGCAGGCATATTTCGAACTCAGCCATGGTGCCGAGCCTGACTTCCAAATTTGCCGCATGCGGCTGTGCTTGTTTTCAAGCTTTAGCGAGTTTTCTGAAGTGTTCAAAACCTATCGTGAGTAATACTAATAGTGGTACTCAATTCAACTTTTAAAACATTTCAAAACTCGCTTAAACGCTCTAAACTCCCGGCTAAAGCTTCAACAAACTCGCATAAGAACAGTTGAATCATGCTCGGCACACGTCGGCACGAAGTCGGACATTCAAACACTTAGAGGATTTTCAAAGCGTGCTATACAGAGGGGAAAGTCGTGCTTTAGAGTAGCAAAAGTAGCTGGGGCATAGATTCATCATGGGTAGCAAGTAGGATCCAAAAGACTTTGTATTTCAAATGACTGCGTTAATAAAATTGTAAAAAAAACCACTCTGCAAGAATGAAATCAGCCATAGGTAGGAAGTACCAGACGGAACAAATAAGTGCTGGGGGAAGGAGGATGAGATGGACTGAGAGTGGGTCATCGGGGGTTTGGTGGGAATTTCGAACAGTTGGGGGGGGGGGGGCAGGAAGAGGAGCGGGTGATGCAGCAAAGTGGCGTTTCGTGCCTGCAACTTGGGAAGGGCTACCAAGGGCACCAGGAGGTGCATAATGAGCGCCAGTGGAGGGTGCAATGGCAACATGTGGGAAGGGACCTATAGTGGGAGGAGGCACATCATGATTCATGAGTGCTAGTGAATGGTGTAGTGCTGAAATGTGTGGGAGAGGGTGAAGTGCCAAAGGATGTGGAGGGACTCTGAGGATCTGATGTACGCGCCTGGGTCTCCCCACCGCTGTGAAGGATAGGATCTGATGTACGCACTTGGGTCTTCCCACTGCTGTGAAGGATATAACTCGTCATAGTTGTCGATAGTACCAAGTGAAGGATGGAGCAGCAGCTCTCCCATAAAGATAAGGCGTTGTTGGTCAGGTGGGATGTGTGTGGGACCTGGATTAGAATAGATTTCCTGTAAGATAAGGGTGAATGTAAGCTACAACTTGCAATAAGCACAAAAATCACTTACTTTGGGTGGATGGCACCTGGAAACTTGAATTATGTCCTGCTCAGTGCTGCAGGTGAGCATGGAGGATGTGAGGTCAACGACGGCACCAACGTGCTCAGTGTGAGACAGAACTTCAGAATTTGCTGAAATTTCAAGCTCCGACAAAAAGTGTGTCACATATGCATGAAATTGATGGGAGGTTTGATCCCCTCAACTCCTGCCCTACTGCCCTACTGCCCTACTGAAACTATGCCTCATTCATCTACACGCCAAGAACTCCTTGATATCGTTGATCAGGCCACACTTTTGTTGGCCAAGCTACAGTACCAGGACATCCTGGACGATTGGTCTGACCTTGAGAGCGATTCTGACTCTGACTCTGAGGATTTGCTTTCTAGCACCTCGGATGATGATGATACCATCAGTCTATCCTTTAGCTCCTCATCCCCCCCCTCCCCCCTCTCCCCTATGACAGGGATATCCAATTTTTCCAGTGATGATTCTGTACTGCCTTACGACAGGCTCCAGGACACGATTGATGCACTTCGTGATGAGGTTAAAAGGGCTTGTGTACTCCACAAGCACAACGAGCCTCCTCCATGAGCACCCCAGCTTCACATGCTCATTCACCATGAGGAACATCGCTGTAGGGATTCATTTCTGGCTGGGCTTGTAGAGACTGTTTTTACCTTACCTTATGTTGGCACTTTTGTAGCTTACATAATCAATCAATCTTTTCACCAGTTACCAGTATGAGTCTGAGAGATCAGCAAATTTTTATGATATTTCCTCTACTCTGAGCCTTGAGCCTGGTCCAGAAACCCTTTAGGGTCAAATAGCAGCTAGGTTCTGCAAGACCCAACACATTGTTCAGACTCACCATCTGAATTGTTGTACCTTCATCACCCTCACTTATTTCGGCAGAAACTTCGTGTCAGCCCTGAGATCTTCGATGACATTCTTGATTATATCTCTGATCACCCTATCTTCCAAAGCAAATCCAACAATTCTCAGCTCCCCATCTCCATCCAGCTTGCTATTTTCTGAATTGGGCAGGCCACTATGGTAACACCATTACTCTGGAGGATGTCGCTCAATGGGCAGGTGTGAGTGTTGGGTCCATGGTTAATTGCACTAATTGTGTGATGATTGCGGTGCTCGATGCCCATGATCAGTTTATCTGCTTCCCAGCAGCTAATTCTGAGGATGTTGACCTGGCTTGTAAATTTGCCGAGTCACGTACTTGTCCTGAGTGGAAGGGTGGCTTTTTGGCCATTGATGGCTCGACCATGAATCTTTTTACCAAACCAGGCTATTATAGGGAGACATTTTATGATAGGAAATCCAGGTATTCCCTGGGCTGTCAGGTATTTTTTTTTCCCTTTCATATTCAAAAAATTGATTTAATTTTAAGCTGTCATCTTGCCCCATAACCTCCTTATTGTTGATTATTCCCTTGGTCATCCCGGGAGTGTCCATGATGCATTCGCTTTCTGATCTACTTGCCTCTATGAAGAGCATGCTGACCTTCTGCCTGATGGTCATTGGGTTTGGGCAGATAGTGCATATCCATTGGAGCCATGGTGCATTGTTCCCTACAAGAAGCCTTGCAATGGACAGTTGACAAAGGACCAGAAGACATTTAATTATCATCTCTCCAAGGTTTTTGTATTTATTCTGGTTTTTCAATGAATTTATTTTTCTTTAGGTTTGTGTTTGTGTTGAACACACATTTGCAGTCTTGAAGGGACAGTTCCAGTCCCTTCGAGAGCTTCGCTTCCGCATTCAGGCTGAGAAAGACCTTGATTTTGCTGTGCAGTGGATTAAGTGTTGTATTATCCTGCACAACATGATTATTCGCTTCAAAACTCATCGTCGCAAGGAAGATGGAACATATGAAAGCTCTCTTAAGTGGGCTTGTGAAGAGGGGGAAGACTTTTTTGTTCAGGAGCTTGAGGGTTCAGATGGTGATGAGGTCATTGGTGACAGGACATATGATGGCACTCCAGGTCAAGCTGCTCGTGCAAAGCTGATGGATGATCTCTTTGATAGTCCTCACTCAAATGCACAACATAGGGCTGAATAATTCCTCTCAGATTCAATTTGACATGTACTACCATAAATAAATATGTACCATACATGTATGTAGCTATGTAACATCAATCACAAGAAGTACTCACAATGACAAGCAAAACATGATGACAACAAATGAAAGACAATGACAACAAATGAAACATGACAGCGACAAATGAAACATGATGATGACAACAATGACGAAATGATGACAAACTCACAAAGCTCAATCCAACCCTGGGGCCTTATTGCCCTGCATCATCTGATGGTATTGTATCTTGAGCCGCAGGGTTTCGGCCTCCTTGTTGAGCACAGGCCAATGCGCTTCGTGCACACGTATATCCACCTCATGAAGGCGAATCTCGGTGTCTTTGTCCTCCTGCTGGCGCTGATGGACAAGGCTAGCGTGACTAGCCTCGTGTGCATGAGTGTCGCGGAGCCACTCGTACTTTTTCGTCTCGCGGGAGTGCTCGCTCTTTGCACCCAGCTTCGTGAGGTAACACTGGTGCTTGCTCTCCTGGCGCAACAGGGCGCTGGACTGCAGGCTCTCAATCTCATCCTGGACCAGGCCTACCTGGTCCTGGACATCCGACCTTGCTTTCTTTTTCGAGCTACCCCCACTGTTAGGCAGTGAGGTCTGTGGGGTGGGAGAGACGATGTAGTCAAATGACGGCATGGTATTGCATGTTGTCGAGGAGGGTGTAGACATGCTGCGGGCCATGTCCGATGGCCCTTTGCATCGCACTCCACAGCTTGATGGCTTGTGGGCGCTGAATGCCGAGTGACTGTTATATATTGGCATTGGGAGCTTGGTGCAAATTGTGAATGGCTGGGGGGCGTCAGAAGGAGGTGAAGGTGATGCAGCGAAGTGGCATTTTGTCCCCGCGACCTGGGGAGGGCTACTGGCACCAGTATTGTCGAGCATTTCTTCATCATCGTCATTGAGGTAGTCTAGTGCGTTGCCGAGGGGGGCATTAAGTGGGCCACTCCCAGAGTCAGGACAATAATCGTCGAGGATAGTGACATTGGGGGAATTGCGCAGGCCGGGAAGGTGTATCTGAGGGGGTGTGAAGAGGGGAGCAAGAGTCTGAGGTTGAAGGAGTTGTGGGTCAATGGTGGGATTACCGTAAAATAGAGGACCTGATGTATGCGCCTGGGTATGAGGAGACACATTATGAGCGCTAGCGGATGGTGTAGCGCTGAGATGTGTGGGAGAGAGTGAAGCGCCAAAGGATGTGGAGGGTCCAGCACCACTACACAGTTGAACCAGGGAGTAAAAAGAGCCTGAGTGATCAACGCCAGGCTTGGAGGAATAAGTCTTTGCGGCCAATGATGGATTTGAGTGCCAGATTCCATTGAGGTCCATGTACCATGGAAACTCTGAAAGAACTGAGTCTACAAACACGATAAACTGATTAAAATAAGCTGAGAACAAAATAAGACAAAAGACACACCCAGCAGATTTTTTACAGCCGTCCCATCAAGCAGCATCACGCCAGCACTGTGTCACTGAATCTAGCCTTCATCTTCTTGTACTTTGTTCTGAGACTTGAGGGATTCCATTAGCGCATGTATGAATATAACAATGAGAAGAAAACTCACTTGTTGATGTGATTGTTGGTTGCATCGCGGAATTTCTTCTGATTGTCGTGATATGCATGACCATATTTGGGGTGATTGGTGAAGATAAGTTTAGCGATAACGCTACAGATTTGGCCTTTGTCTGAGCCTGAGGGGCTGTCATTGACAGGGGACATCACCTTCTTCCCATTAGAATAAAAGAGCACCCTACAATCAGCAGGGTGAGACATTGGATAATTCACCAAGACATCTGTTAGGGCAGTTTCATTATGCCACTGTATGGTTAATTGTGGTCCAGATTCAGAAGGGACCTTGGATTGTCCCTCAGAGGGAGGTACAGAGAGTGCTGAAGGATCCATCGAGTGCACTCGAGCATCAGCTCAAAGTCTTGCAGAACGATGTGCATGTTGACGAGTGGGAGGCATGGTGTTTCAAAGTCCACCCTGCAGAATTCGCCTGACTTTGAATTGATGTGCATTACACCGAGTTTGTTGAAGCTTTAGCCGGGAGTTTAAAGGATTTAAGCGAGTTTTGAAATGTTTTAAAAGTTGAATTGAGTACCACTAATATTAATGAAGTGGGTGGAGTATCTTTGTGGCATACAAACAAAGTCCGAAATGGGGAGAGTTTGTTTTTCGATTCTTGGCAAATACCAAAGGTAGTAATGGCTTTTACTTACATATCACAGCTTCTTGTCCTTAGTACACCAATGTTCCAACACGTAAATAGCTTCATTTGCCAATGACATCGACTCTTAGATTAGATACAGTCCTAGACCATTTGCTGTATGCATGTGTGTACTTGTGTATTCCCTCTGTATGTAATGTCCGTGGACTCTGGAGTAGGATTGGATATCTAGCATGAACGGTGCCCATTCGTTCACACCCATCCCTCGAACATGACCATCATCTCAAATGATCCCAGTTGGTGGCTGACAATAAATTCTAATTTGTTACATAGCTATTGGATAGGTTCATCTCATCAACATGTCTAGATCTACTAAGGTTGACTTGGGGTTTTGCAGTTGCTGCCGGCGTTGTGGTGGTACACGATTGGGGTGAGCCGCAGGACAGTATTCAAAAATCACTGATATTCTGATGATATTTTCAGTCTTAACACTCGGACAAGAGGTACGTTCAATGTTATTGCCCAAGCAGCCAACTCGCTAACAACAGTGTCATAGATTGAACTCATCTGGGTGAGTGACAAGAGTCCCATATCAGAAGAAAACAAGAACATGCAATGAATTCGTGACAGAGACAACACTGGTCTCTCACGAGTGTGCTGTATTTGATTGTTCATACCTCAGGTTGTACTTTAGCATGGTGGGCAACTTGTGCTGACTCCAAAATGTTCTAGATACACTATATTGGAATACCATATTTTGTGTATGTATTGAGATCAATGACTTTGGACTGTGCTAATAGCTCATCTATGACAACTAGTGTCAATATTGTGGGTATGTCTCATATGCACTGTGTTCCATGTTTTGACCAGCGGCACACAGGAAATATGCCACTGGTATCGCTGACAGATGCAGTGAGTATTCTGCAACTATCACATTGCTATCTAACCAATATACTCACATGCAGGGGTGAGTGAGATTTCAATCATTGAACTTGGCTCAACATAATGACTCAATACTAGGTGTAAGTCGGAGTCTTTGATACTAGTGCGAGGGCGTTCACTAATTAGGGGTTTTAGGCATTATTGCATACTATGTATTAAATGGCACAATTATGGCCTTGACTGTGATGTTGGGTGGTAAGTTGACCAGGTGCGATACCTCTGCGATATCGACCTGACTGACGCATGATGCAAGTCATAATAATTGCTTGGTTGCATGCTATGTATCAGGGATCTAGAACAATGCTTATGTTCCTTATTGTCATTTTCCTGGCTGTAAACATCACCTGTGGAGTGATCATGGCAATAATACTGAAGAATACTGTAGGGGGTAAGCTTTGCTTGTTGACTTGAAGAACACGGCTCATTGGATAAACACCAGAGGAGCTGGTGCTCTCTGGCATTTATATGTGCAGTTCTCAATTGGAAGGCAACTACCTGCTCCTCAGATCAATGGTTTGGATGCTCAACACCGTTTGGGAGGTCCTCGCATTGTGTCTTTCATTTTGGGTTGCTGTAAAACACTTCCGTGAGCTGCGACAACTCGGCCCATTGACAGGATCTACCATTGGAGACTGTTTCAGAGTGCTGGTACAATCTCATGTGCTCTATTTTGCAAGGTGAGCTTGTAATGTGAACGCGAACATATTTTTCTGCTCAAGTTCCGCACATGTTAGCTTTGTCGGTGTCTCTTGCATCCAGCTTGCTTTTCTCTTCCCAGAACTCCCACTGTGCTGACCTGCTGCTGATATCTGCGTGCAACCAGTGCTCATCATTTCTGTTAGAATTCGGATTCTATTGGAGTTTTGATACTCGGTGGTTGTCACGAGTTCCAAATACAAACCATTATTCATTCCCAAATTCTAAGTCCTTTAAGCACCCAGTCACAACGCCTGTACCTAAGAATATGTTTACCATTGAAGAAGTTCCTATTATTGCGTCCATTGTAGAATTACCAGAGTCACATGACTTATCGGACAATGCCGAAGATATTGACATCATGCCTTGCGACACTCTTGAAATGTTCCAGAGTCTTACTGTGACTGCAGCACATGTTATGACATCATAGTTATATATAGAATCATACGATACCTTTAATTATTCTGATTGGTTAGTTAGTTCATACTCAGTTTCGATCTCAGTTTTAACATGTGTATATAGGTAGCTCGACGTAGTCAGTAGTTCTTTAGTTCAAACCTCTTGTATCTCCTAGTGAGCAATCCAAGACGTACCTGCTGCCTTATCCTCTTTGTGATTATCTTGTTGTTTGAGTCCTAGTCTCTGCCCTGTGTTAATTCGTTTAAGGGGTTGTGACAGTGGTACTCTTCAAATTTGTATGGCCATTCAGTTGTTTGTGCTGGGACCACACCTCATCCTTAGCGTTCGAGGATACCATGCCAAACTCGTGGCATACTCCGACACAGAAACTAGCATGAATTTGATTGTCTTCCAGGAGCATGTATATGTATTGACTAGTAGTACTGTGTAGGGAAATGCTTGTCGAATGGTCTGTAGGGAGAAGAAATTTCATCAAGGATCCGTTGTGATATTTATTTGACATATAGTACATTTGAAATGTCTAGGCAAAGCTATTTCTTGTTGTGTCACTACTAGAACGAAGTACCCGCGTTTGAACCCAGTGGTAATCAGAAATTGTCCAGAACATCTAGCAACCAATCTGGTCCATTTTTGAAATACAACAAGAGTCAGTAAAAGTGCCTTGATCGCTGATTTTGCGTGTTGGTGTTCTACCATCTTGACATATAGGTACTGTGGATCGTGAAGCCAGATGGCTGATAACTAGCATTGCTTGGCTGTAGCAAATGAGCATGACAAGCTCAAGATGAGGTCTGCTGAAGCCCCTGCTAAGCACAACCATCAAAGTAAAGCACTAACGAGATACAAACATGCATACATACATACACCAATTGGCATATCAATTGATCACAATCGCTCCTAGGGCAAGCAAATGGTCACTTTAACGACACAAGGTGTATTGATGGCAAGAAGTTGAGGGAAACACATGTTCAATTATGCATTATGGACAATCAGTGTGATGGACAAAGTAGTTCTGAGAAGGAAGAATTGCCTACTACTAGAGTAGATGCCAGGTTAGGTACAGCATCAACTGTCAGAAGTGATGATATGAATCCTGGAAAACGCACTTTTGTACAAGGGATGACAACATGAACTGTGTTGATCCAGAAGGTCTATCGGAAAGCAGATTGCCGATCCTGTTAGCATTCCACACTGCTGTACAATGCTATGTGTCGCATATTCTAACCTCGCTACACCTCTTTCATATGTATGTTACATAAGCTACCTACTATTTTCATTCACGCTCGACAGTACTTCCTCAGTGACTTACATCAGTCTACTGAGGTCAGTACATTCTATTTAGCTAGTACATACATATCTAACCGATCCTGTAGCTCATGTACTCGCTGCAGGTATATATCCAATATAAGTGACTTACATCAGTCTACTGAGCTTGTGTACTCGCTGCAGGTTATGAGCCCTGCGCCCGTTAATTCAAACTAACTACAAAGTACACGAAACGACTAGCCCGCCATGTCCAGCTCCAACACAAAACTTGGAGAAGATTTTCTGCGTGTCCCCAAACTAGCTGTGGACAGAGAAGATTGGATGACCTACAAAGACAGGTTACAATGGTCAGTAGATGCTAGAGGGTTTCTCGGTCACCTGGATGGTACCGAAAAGAAACCAGTAGACCCCGCAATGCTGACAGGAAGAGGACCATCTTGGGTACCATCCGGCACTGACGAGGTCCGAGAACTCGCAGCGTACAAAGCTGCATCGAAGGAGTGGCGCGTTGGCGAGGCCATTACAAAGCAACAAATTGCTAGTTGTACTCACATCGGACATGCTGATAGCAACAATCATCGACGAGTACGACAGGAGAGCCGCAAAGACGAAGAAGAATGGCTCTTCGAGCGAAGACGCGGCCTATAACACTAATTCGGGTCAGCGTAACAGGAGGATAAAGGGAAACTGTCACAGTTGTGGCAAGTACGGACACATGGCAAGGGATTGTCAAAGTGCCAGAGGTTCAGGAGCAGGAGGCAAGAGCAAGTCTGACATGAAAGCGAAAGACAGGAAACCTGAAATGGCGGCTAGTGCCAAGGACAAAGGGAAGGACGACAATGAACATGAAGGTGTCTGGTTAGCGCATGAATCAAGCCAATCAGAAGAGAAAACATCATTTACCTTCGCCACGCTCACAGACTCGAGCCAGAAACAAACTGCTTGAATCAAATTGTTCGACTCGGGCGCTTCGCACCACATGTCGTCATACCAGCACCTGTTCCAAGACTTTGTTAGTATTGCACCAAAACCAATAACGACGGCCGATAGACATACATTTGAGGCGACCGGAAAGGGAAACATAGTAATTTTCCTACCAAACGGGCAGTCAGAGACACACATACTGCTGAAGGATGTTCTGTACTCACCTCAAATGGGCCTGACCTTGGTGTCAATTAGTTGCCTCGCATCTGCAGGATATGCTGCATTGTTCCGCTGTAGAAACAACAATACAATGAGGAACAAGGATGCTCCTAACTGTATCTATAAAATGTTGTGAGGTCGCGCGTTACCTAGTCTGCTATTCTTGAGGAGACAAGTGCGTTCGACCCTAGGGGAAGCGAGTGCTGCGAAGATCTAGAGGTACGCGCTTCAGCGAAGCGTGAGAAAGCGCAAGTGCGCGCAAGGTACGAAGGCGCGGGAACGCGCGCGCGTATTAGCGCGAAGCGCGGGAAAGCGCGCGCGCGTAAGCGGAAATAAAAGAGACTAAGCTTAAGTGATGATATAAAGCAATATAAGAAAAGATAGATGCAAAGTGTAGACCAATAGACTTCTACTATGTACTGCTAAGTAAATAGTGGGTGATAACTAGTAAGTTCAAGGGAAAAGTAAGGTAAGTAATAGTATGTACTGCTGGCGCTTATATAGCGCGCCTAAGCGCGGTCAAGCGGAGCCGAAGCGCTACCGAGTAGGTATGTAAATATATATATGAGTGAGAATGCATGATAAAAATAAAGGTGGAACTATGCTAATAAAGGAAATGGAAATATACGCACTAGGGAGCTTGGTGGACAGTGGATGGATGCATCTGAATGGCTGGCGCTATAGGGCGCGCAAGCGCAGGAACGCGCGCGCGCGTATACATCGCGAAGCGCGGGAATGGTGCGCGCATGGCGCGCGTTGCGTGGGAAAGCTGCGCGTCATATAGAGATAGCTGTGGGTAGCGCACAGAATGATGCTGCGAGTTTGTGCTGTATACTTCCTAGTGAAACCTGCCATATCACACCATGAGACACACGAGTCTCTACACCGCGAAAGTTCCTGCAAGATCTTCAATGAGAATAAGAAGCTGATGGGGGAAATATCAGTCAATAAAGGGCTGTATTGCATTAGAAGCCCCAAAGGACTGTTTGCCAGCACAACAAGTCCAAAGGAGACCCTTACCATGTGGGAAATTCATGCAGTAAGAACACCTGGACAAAAGGAGTATTTTGCATCATTCACAGATGACCATACCATATTCACTCACCTGTACCTACTATGAACGAAGGATGAAATGTTCAGCGCGTACCAGAAGTACAAAGCTTGGGCGAACACGCAGTTTGACACCAAGATCAAATGCCTTCGCTCGGATTGTGGTGGGGAGTACACTGGAGAGGTGTTTACTTGTCATTTGCACAGCAAAGGAACAGAACGAAAGCTCACCATTCATGACACGCCAGAACACAACAGAGTCACAGAGCGACTCAATCGCACCATTATCAAAAGAATGTGTGCGCTGCTGCATGCCAGTGGGTTGCCGAAGTTCCTGTGGGGGGAAGCCATCATGCACATCACCTGGTTGAAGAACTGGACGCCGACTCACGCACTAGACAATAAGACGCCCTATGAGTTGTTATTCAAAAAGAAACCCAACCTCAAAAACTTACCGGTTTGGGGCTGCAACGTCAAGGTCCACTCTATAAACGGCTTGGGGCTCGATATGCGAGCGATTGACAGAAAATGGGTGGGGTTCGACCACGATAGCAACGGCCACTGGGTCTACTTGCCAGAGTCATGGCGAGTCGCAGTTGTCGGAACTTTTTTTACGGCATTTTAATCCATTAAAATGGCCTAACGACACGGACCTATTATAATACATTATGATCAAACAGTCAGCATTTTGACCCATTTAAATGCACATCGACATGATGACATAATAGGCATTTTAATGTACCCACCAAGTATCAATGCCCATTTTAATGGTACCCACTGAGTTTTAATATGCATATCAATTGTTATTGCGAGATGTCAATACAAATACTAATCTACATTATGATATCGGTAAAAATGACCCTCTCCCCCATCCTTCTTGCTCTGTTTGCTGCTGACCGTCAGTTGTGTTGGGACAATGATAGTCGTGATGAAGGAATATTGAATGATAATGCACGTCACCGGACTTATGAAGTTTCATACTCATCACTGTCCAAGCCTGCTGCCGCTAGCTACTCCCTTGTCTTGCACGAATGGCGGGTAACTTAGCTAAGAGACACCCGCTCGCCCTCTTCCCATCGCTCTGGGCATGATTCAGAGTCTAGAACCTGGAAATGTTATCAACAACATCGAACATGGCACATATTACACTACTTACCCATTTATTGTTGCCAAGAATGAGGTGTCCCAACCAGGTCAGCGCAGCAGCAGCAGGGAAGGTGGCGTGGCCAGCAACTGCCACTCCAGTGTTTCCCCATTGTGATCATCCGATTTGCGTGTGTGGCGCAGGAAGTGCATCAGGTTCGGATAGCTCAAGTTCCAATCGATTGTTTTCAGGATGTACCGCTCTGCGAGAAGGATATTGTATTCAGTGTAGGATGAGTCCACGCAGTGAAGGAAGTGCGAGATGGATGGTGCGACAATTTCTTCAACCTTTGGAAGCAATGGAGAGACATGATGTAATGCCCATGAGTTGAAGTTTAGTGAGGGAGACGACACATGCTGACAAGAACCTTTCGACAATGTTCACGCAGAGGAACACAGTCGCATGAAGTAATCGGAACCGTGCATGTACTTACACCAGCCAATCGAGAAGGATTCCATGCATCGACCAGGCCAGCTCTTTTTGCAATGCCATGTATTTCGGATGAGGAAGTGTTATAAGCTTAAGGCATTTCATTAATTACAACGGAATGATAAAAATATATGGAGACTTGTACCTCAGTCTGCTTCATGTACTTGAAGATCTCGACAACATATTCACTGACCATCAATGGATCATCAAAATCCTCAGCATCGAGATCGCCCCACTCGTCACCATCAAGGTCAGCTTCAGGTGCCACATCGACATCCAGAACAGCCGCAACTTCTGCCTCGTGTTGCGTTTGCTCGTCTATGTCAGTCTCGGGAGCATCAGAAGACATTACAATCGTCTTGAACTTCCTCCTGTGTCTCGGTCTTTATTAAGATGAGATGGAAAGAAGTTTGTCGAGCAGCCTGAACACGTTGTACCTCCTGGGTGATCACCTGTTGAGTGTTCGCCCCCAACCTGCAGGTCAAAACACATCGCGAGGGTTCAGGAGCCAGTGGGTGATCATTCCGTCCTTAGCAGATTCCAGCAGCCTTGTTCTTGTTGATGTTCTTAGTTGTAACTTCGAATAAAATGAGTCAGCGTGTTTTATTGTAGGTTGAAAAATTAATAGATGGACGTTTGGGTAGCGCCAGAAGAATGCAGGTCGATTCAGACCATAAATGTTGGCCAAGAAGGAGAAGGAGACAGAGCAACAGTGGAAAGTAAAGCAGACCGTGGAGGATGTTGAGAGTTACTGGTTCTAGTTACAGTGATACAAGGTAACAATATCGTAAATTTATTGACCATTGCTTCCCATGGCCACACTTGCAGCCGCATAACTTTATCTTTCCGGCTGTGAGTGTCAACCTTGTAGACAAGGTAATTAGGAACTAGCTGAAAGGTTATCAATATGGCGCATCTGAATTCGCAAACTGGGTATGTGGTAGCGTCTGGTGTGAAGATCAACACCAAACTTCAAGGTGTCACGCTCGTCAGCGCTCCGTTCATGATTATGGGTATGTGGGGGCGTCCAGCGTGAAGATCAATGCCAAACTTCGAGGTGTTGCGCTCGTCAGCGCTCCGTTCATGATTATGGGTATGTGGGGGCGTCTGGCATGAAGATCAACGCCAAACTTCAAGGTGTTGCGCTCGTCAGCACTCCATTCATGATTATGGGTATGTGGGGGCATCCAGCATGAAGATCAACGCCAAACTTCGAGGTGTCACGCTCGTCAGTGCTCCGTTCACGATTATGGGTATGTGGGGGCGTTTGGCTAGTATATGCATGCATTCCGAGTCGAAGGACACCTAAACATTCTCAGATTACAATGGAGCTAAAATCTCGTGTCTGTAGGAATTGTGTGATCAGATCTTGGTAGTAAGACTAGGAACACAACTACAAAGTAGGGGACTCTAATTTCATGTTGTTGTGTGACGTGAGGAGCAGTGAATAGTTGTGATATCATTGGCTGACGACTTAGTTTTCTTCTTGCCCCTGGATGTCTTTGCCTGAGATTTGGCAAAACCAATAAGCCCAGCGGCTGGTAATGCATCCTCACTCTGATCCTGGGGATTGGCCAAAGTCTCTGCATGCAGTGCCATGGGTGTCGGAATAGGTGGAGTTGAGATAGAAGGTTGTGGAATGACAGCAGGCCCTGGGGCTGCAACTTCAAGTCGAGGAGTGTCGACAGTGAACATAGTAGGTTGCAAGGTTGCGATGGTTGGCGCTGCGGCTACAGTGGCAAGGTGTACATCTTTATTAGCCTGCTCTTGCAAGTTGACATATTCCAATGACTCATCATTCAAGTCTGAATCGCTGGTGTCTAGCGCAGCCATAATGCGATCAAGTGATTCAGTGATGCGCTCCACAGTACACTGAGTGTCATCGGATGGCTGCATCTTTACAGTACTACTGAAGACATATCCATTGATTTCATCGACAATAGATTTGATGTGCTGGTGGGCCCACTTAACAACGAAGAATTTCTTGACTGTCTGAAAGACGGAGTGATATGCGATTGAGGAAATAGCACCAACTCCATCGCCCGAAAATTCCTGGTCCGGAGATAGGATGAATATGATCTACAGGGCATGATGAGTATCAGCTCAGTATAAATTTAGAGTACTGAAACCTTACTGATGTGACACCAAATGCAATCAGGCCAGGAGTGCAGCTTGTAAGCTTCCATATCTTGGCATAGGAAGGTGGTCTGCCACGTGCTTTGGAATACAATGACATCTTTCCACATATTGCAACCTTGACAACCTTCGAAACAACATATGAGTAGCTGGGTCTGTTATTGATGAGTAGACTACCTTTGCGATGATGATCCAATTTTTGAAAAATTTCTTCTCATTCACAATGTGGTCAGGGTAAAGTATTGGCACCTTGAAGATATCATACATCTTTCCCTTGCCTGCTTCCCATCCAATCAAGTCTGTGACCTGCTGGAGGGAAGTACAGTCGTATTTGGAAACAAAATATTCGTTAGGCATGTTGAAGATGCCACCTGCAATGGTATGCAGGCTGTTTAGGAATGAAGAGTGAGCTTGCTGCATTCCGCTCCCAAACTAAATGAAGTTTTGGTTAAATTTATAACGATAATATTAATGACTTGAGGTAGGAAAAACTACACACCTGGTTGAAGAACAGATTTGTTTGCATCCGAGCATGCAACATGTGGTCAATGGATGCATAGAGTTCAGCAACAAGTGCATCCTTTTCTGTAGACCTCTTCGCATAACGATTTGGATTCGAGAAATTGACTAGAGGATCAGGACAGTCTGTTTGAAAAATGACCTTGTCGGGGAGGAACATCTCGGTAGTGAGTGCATACTTTTTGGCCAAGCTTAAAATAAGCTTGTCCAAGTCGATGTCACCCATCTTCGATGAGTCAGAAGCTACGACGGAGGATGCAGAAGACACAGATGGCGCTACAGATACTTGTGATACAGATGGTACCCTGGATGGTGGGCATTTGTGAGAACATTTCAGCTGTTGCGCAGCAAGAATGTTGTTGCTCTCATTCAGAGACATATTCTGCTGCTGGAGCCGCCCTTGTTGAAGCTGGAGGTATTTAATATACTAATGTATCAAGGCATATGTTAGAATTTAGTATATACAATCTGAATGAAAGCAACAGCGTACCTCTTGGTAGTGCTCGATAGAAGCATTAACACCTGGTGGAGCCACAGGCCGTTCTTCATCTGCCGAGTCTGAGCCTGAATCAGAACCTGAGGATATTGGATTCAAGCCAGAGTCAGACATTTATTATGCAATGGGGAGGAATAGTATGCTCAACGAGCTGGAACCTGAGAGGGTGGGTCACAGGGTGTTGAGTCAAAGCCGTCTCGCAGTTGATGCTATTTTATGCAATCTTGAAGTCGGGTGGTGTCAGAGTGAACTCAATGTAATCATACACGCGGTCCAGGTTTGCTGATCGGCTCATTGAGGCCATGAGGCTGTGACCGAAAAAGTCAAATTGAATGGTAAATTACACGCAATGAAGACGTACATAATCATTATCGCAGCATGACGCAGGTCAATGTGTGATATTACACATTGCAAGTCTGCACACTAACATGCAGACAGATCAAGTCTTACGATTCAGATAAAATAAGGTCACTTACATCTGTAAAACGGTGAATGTTGAGGGCTTGCCATCTTGCCGTGCATGAAAATACTTATCCGATCAAGCTGAGCCTTCCACATGAGGAATTTATTTGAAGGGCGTGTGCTCCAAGATACTCTAATTGAACGGATCAGAATCAAGGTGAGAGTTCATTCTAGATTCGATGGTCGAGGTGGAACAAATAGAAGTGTAATGGACTCAGCCCGAAGCTTGAAAGTACATGTTCGCATGGCACAGAGGATGCCTGAGCTGGCAGGACATCTATAGCAATGCAGAAAAGTAGTGGATACACTTTTTCCATGTGCTTAAATTGACTTTAGCACCTTCGTTATGTGAAGGAAAAGTTGAGCTCACCTCCCAGAAGAAAACGGGATCAGCCATGCGCTCGCCTGCATTGAACATGACTGGTTCACGCTCATAACACTCAAATTCACACAGCATCTTTTCGGTCCTCTTCGAGTGCCTTGGCACGCTGTGCAGTGAGTTGTTCGATTGAAGGCTGGTTTTGTATTGTGGGGATGGGTGTCCTTGAAGTCATGTGTGCGTGTGTGATTGATGATGTTGATGTTGAGTGTCGAATTGTCGTGTTGATGCTTGACAGGCAAGAAACTGTGTGAGCTGCATGGGAGACAACACTAGTAGCAGCACATGCATAGTTAGAATAAGTTCTAGGTCGACGGGGATGGTGTTGTTCATGTCCAGGATACTGTACAATGGCCAAAATATCAACATGGCATTGAAAGAAGACACATACTTGATGCAGAAATGGTATTTAGTAAACTCCCTGCTACCCAACTTCCCATAGATGTTAGTTTTTGGATGTCGAGAAGCTCCAGTGCTAATGCATTTGAGCCGCTTTCGGAGTCCCGTAAGATAGCTGCAGAACTGTTCCACTGGTGAAAACTCATGTTTTGTAAATACAATACTAAACTCACAGTACGAAATGGGCGGTGGTGGGAGTTATCTGGAAGAACTTTGTCGCCTTCAACTGCTGGAAGAGATTCTTTTAGTCATTGCATTCTCAGGTTGACTCTTGAGCTCATTGAGGACGAAACACTTGAGCAACTCGAACAACTTCTGATGTGATATATGAACTTTGACTGGCTGGTTAGGAGGAAGTGCTTCAAGTACCAGTTCTTCACCAGAGATACATCCTGCGCATGATGCATGCGATCAGAGTGCCAATTATAAGGCTCAGGCGCCAATCATAGAGCGTCACAATAGCAGTGAGGTCATTCTCGAGAGGCCTGTCCTCACATTGCATCGTAAATTCTTTAATTGCCAGAATTGCAGGGAATCTTGGCTGACGAGGTCTTTGGGTGTCGTTCAGAACTGCATGGAATGTGCAAATGGGTGGGTAGGGCATGGGAAATATCTGTAATACTACCACTAGTACATGTTATTGATCTGCGAAGAAGCATATCAATAAAAGTTTGTTGCAAGCAAAAGATGAGGAGACAAAAATGTACCAACAACACTGATAATAGCTTGCCTCACAATGGTTGAGCGCTAGCCTGGAGTGCCTTGACTCGAAGGAACATGTCAGTGTCCACAGTGTGGATGACGAAGTAATCCCCATCTGTTTTGGGATTTCTGGCAAGAGCAGCTCCCCGAACGATTGACCAAACCGAAATGATTTCAGAAGATGAGCAAGGTTTGGCTCGCACGCGCCACAATCCCATATCATTATCCCGCCTCTGATGACTATTAGCAATACTGACATCATATGGCTGAATAAGTGCGAGAGGGAATTCAGTGCTGCCAACCAAACAAGTGAACATGTATACGAGGCGAGCAAAGAATGGTGTGTTTGCAGTGTTCACGATGACGCAGTCATATCTCGGCGATCCATAGAACTTTGGATTGCATCGGAGTAGGTCTTGGTGCATGCACCAGTCGACTAGTGATTCATAATTGATCCGCAAGAACCTAAACTCTGTTATCTGATAGAAATGCATCAGTATTATCAATTGAATGTAAAGTAAATGTACTGTATGCTCTGCTTGCATGTGAATGTGCCTTCCATCTGGTAATGGAATGTTATTCTGTGGCAGAAAGCCATTTAATAAGTTGTTTAGCTTCATCCGAAAGTTGGTGAAGGCCCTGTCAGTTCCATGCAAGTGCATGATGTCGGAAAAAGAGTTATTACCCTGCCTTGAACCTAAATGTGCGTGAATAGTAGTAGATTTAGATGTTCCAGCGTCGGAGTCATCCAGGACTTCGTTGGTCTCAGGGTCACAGGTGTCTTGTTGATTGTACTTGTCGAGTTCGTCGAGTTCAGAGCACATGGATGTCGAAGTTAGAAGCCATTCATCATAGTGTAGAATCTGTAACAATTAAAAACTATTGGTCTGAATCTGCATAACAATATAGTTAAGCAACGAACCTGAGAAGCAACATTCTTGAAATTTGTGCGTTGAAGATGGATTTTTCATAAAGAGCCATGCATCTTTTCATTTGGCTTAGTACTGTAGTTACGTGTCACACCTTTGGCTAGAATATCGTCGAATGCATGCGAGACCAAGTGTTTCTTTGGAAAGTTCCAATTTTTGTTGGTTTCGGGGTGTGATTGTGCAATATATTCCTAATGAAAAGTCAGACAATTGTCATCAAAAACATCGGAACAACTTACATCCATCATTTCTGAGAACTTTTGCAGTGCCAGCCTTCCAGCTGCGATTGTATCCTCTGTATGTACTTCTAATGAGACATAAATATCAAACTCAACGTAGTAGTGAATGCAATGAAGAAGTAACTGTCCCAGTTTACAGTGGGATGAAGTAAGGATATCCTGTGCCGCAAAAACGATCATCTAAGTTTGTGTAAGTACCTAAAATCATTTATGATGGTGCAGACAAACCTTGGACAGATCACCGAGAACAGAACCATTAGTGAAATCAACTGCGACGACAGATGAAAAATGTGTTAAATTAGGCCATCGTGGAAGTTCATCGAAGCTAAGACACTGAGTCAGAAGTAGTGTCAATGTATTATAGCCACAATACATACTTTTTATCAAGTTTGACAGCCGCTTCATGCCCGAGGTCCAAAATCCAAAACTTTACTTCCTTCCACAAATGGTCACCCCATAATCCTTCCTCGTTTGTATGCAGGCGGTTGAAAGAAAGTGCACGATGAACATCGACATGAAGGATTCTCGAGAAGACATTCTAACAATTGAATTACATCAGCAAACTTGTCAATAGTAATAGATATAACAGCAGAAATGGTAAAATGGGAAGGAAGTGAAGTTTTTCATATGAGTTCATGAATTGTTTGAAATACAAGTCATTCATTGTAAGAGGAAGGGTAAGTTGGGAGGGAAATGCATACCTCAATGTTTCAAAGCGAGAAAGCCTTTAGATGATCCTCTTTTTCCTTCTCAGATGGCTTTGATCTTGCAGTGCGGAGTATGTCTTCAGATTGGTGGCTTGTGCACAGCTCATGGGTACGGAGAATGGACTGCTTGTCTTGTGGAACCAAACAAACTGGACATGGAAATTTTCCCTTAAGCCCACGGATCAATGCCATGATACATCTATAATTTGTACATGAGCAGCTCACAATAGTTAACTTGTAGTACTAGTATGACTTACTGTTCTTCGTAATCAGCACTTAAGATTAAAATGAGGGGCCAGAGATGACGTCGGATTCCGTCTCCGCATTCAAACCAATAGCCTGTATTTGAGTGCTTCGCAACCAAGGCCAGAAGCTGGTAGAAGGATGTATGCCAGACAGCATTTTTAAAGTCTACATAGTTCTTCTTTTTCGCATGTTCTTGATCCTCAACAATCTGAATTAATATAATGGCAGTCAGCATTACTATGAACTGAACAAGCTTGTCAGTATACTAACAATGGGCAGCCAGCCAACGACATGACCACCTCCTAGGGCAGTATTACTGTTACAAATATGAACCAGTAGGTTATCGATGTGCGCAATGATTGGATAGCCTTTTTGGCTCCCAAATGACGATAGTTTACTCTTGTGCGCATAAAGGATGAATGCCAGTGGTTTTGCATCGGGCGGAAGCTGCGACTACAATTACAACAGTTTTGTGGCATACTATTAATTTAAAGAAACAAACAATAGATCAAATGTCGAAACATACTTGTGCCTTCCAAAACGCATTGGCAGTTCATGGTTCATCAATAAAATGTACAAATCTTTCTCCGTTGAATTTTGAGAGACGTTGAGCATCAAATACAAAATGAGGTGCGAGACATTTGTCTCGCAATAAGTGAAGGACCCAATCCCAGAGAGGGCGGTAGTGCATGTTGAATTCACGCTGTCTTCTTAGATAGATGATCTATAGATAAACACCTATAAAAACAAATATCTCCACGGTCAGCGATTCAGACAAATACCAATGACTGATAACGTGGTCGTTCATGGGTGGCTAGTTGTATACTACCCAAGGTATGTTCAGCTAATGATACTTCTGCAAGATCAGTAATGCGATGGTCAATCCAATCTTTGGACTTGACAGGAAAACAAACAAACAATGGTCAGCCCAGCAGTATGGCAATGACCAAAAGAATATACGGGATTTTTCCTCAAGTTCCCTTTCAACAACAGTGCCTCCTACCAACTATACTCCAAAGAAATGGTGCAGAATTACAATGATAAACCCCCTCAGCACAAAGCAGGTAGAATCAAAGGTCAAGACTAATCAAATGCTTTATTGTAGAACTTTTAGCTCAATATTGAACCTGCTGTCAAGGAACTCTTCTTTGAGTATTCAAACAGACTCAGGAACGGACGTCCTTGGGTTTACTACCAAGTCCCCTCTTCAACGGCTAAAGCCTAGCAGGCACAGAATATCTTGGCTCAGTATCGCTACTCAGATGAGTGAGGTCAAGCTTCACTATCAATTCCTAAAGTCTCCCCACTATGCTACTTCTGAGTCTTAGGTGGACGTAGAGACAACACGAATATTTTGGAAATATATTTCTGGACAAAGACCACCAAAGGTTGGTGAAAGTAAAAGAAAAGAAAAAGAATAATAGAAATCAGAATAAAAGTGTGGCTGTACCTTGCTTGCTGGTTGTTGCACACAGTGAGCTCACAGCTGGTCATTCAGTATGATGAGCTTGCAGTATTACTGTCTCTTGAGAGTGTTCCTCTCAGTCTTGAAACAGTTCTTGACACTGGTACTGACACTTATCACACCTTACTTCACAACTTAGTGTTAGTTGGGCTGAAAAACACCCTACTACCTGCTGGTATCTGCTTTTATTATTTCAAAAACTGGGGTCATTATATACACAATAAATGTGGCTGTGCTACTAGTGTATTTCAAGAGTCATTAAGAGTCATAATGAGTCATATATGCAAGGTGAGTCATAGTGAGTCATAGTAAGTATTTTAGAGTGAGTCATAGTGAGTCATTGGGTATTTTGCTAAGTCATGTGACCTGTCCAACCCCTGATGACAAATCCAGAAAGAGAGTAAGAAGTGTCACATGATATGAATCCTGTGTGTGGCTGTCTTTGCTTTGCTTTGTTTGAAGGGTGAGAATGACGCGAGCCTAGTATTTAGGGGTTTACTAATGTTTTTCCAGGATAACATATGTGGGAAATATTTTTCACAGTCACCTGACATGTGTGAGATTTTGTCTGAGTCATCACCATGGCTGACTAAGCAAAACTCATCGCAGAATTAAATGTACTAAAATATTCAGGCTGCTGGCATATAGACTTGAAAAATAAAAAGAAAAGCAAAAAAATATTCCCTTAACCTCAGCCCAACTTCAGATAAAAGGGAAAAGGGTTTCATAGTGGTATTTCAGGGTATATGACTCATGAGAGAGTATTGGTCGTCCATGCACCGAACCGGTTTGGTGCAGGTCAATGCACTTCATTTCCAAGGGGAACAGACACTGTATTGTTCTGAAACTATGCACTAATGATCAGCTTATGGTAATGTACTAGTAGTAGCTACATGAGACAACACTTACTCTAGTATAACATTGTGAAGCAAGGTCCCAGAGGGAGCAGACTTCATCATGATTTTGCAGTGTGAACGTGTCATTGCCACTAGCAGATCGATGTATGAGATTGAGAAGGCGATTGGTTTGATCCTTTGTCATCGCAGCTTCGAGTGCAATCTCTGCTACTTCAAAATCAAGCCGTGTGCGGAATGGCTCCCACGGTGAGTCGTTACGAGGTACATAGTCTTCTGTTGGGCAGCTGCAAGAGAACTCAGAGAAGTGATGCATGGTAGAAGGAATTTGGCTGTGAGGATGATGCTCAACTTTGATATCATCAAGCTCGTGCGCAGGCTGATTGAGATCAGGATTGGACTCATTGGGACCAAGATCGGGCTCGTTGAGACCAGGATCTGGTTCATTGGGACCAGGATCGGTTTGGTGGAAGTCAGGTAATGGGTCCGCCAGAGGGTATTGGCGAGGTGAAGACCCTCGCATAACTGATACTGTTAGTCTCAGTATAACACTAATCAAATTGAATCAAATGTACCAATGTCTGAGTCTGCGGCCCATATCGCAGTGGCATTCACCGTGTTGCGAGAAGAAAATTCTAAACCATAGTACTATTGTTAAAATATGAGTGCTCACCTGCAGATGATTGCGCATCCTCCAAACATTGTAAATTATTACGAACTTTGTGACACTGCCTTCGAAGTTCTGTAAAAAAATTATCAACCATCTATCAAGTACATCATTGAAAGACAACTGATTCGAGTGCTCACCTTTCTTTTTGGCTTTCTGAACTATGCTAACCAACTCCTCATCTTCCTGCCATTCCCGTTCCTTCTTCGTGCAAGACCTCGAATGGGATCCTAACCCACGTGCACGCACATTCACTCCACATCGATCACACGTCACAAGGTCTGATGCTCATTGTTTTGACTTAGGCATTGATGTCAAGTAGCAAACGAGCAATGAGCTAGCTGATAGTGATCATATAATATTAGAGTGAGAGCGTAAAGCTGCGAGTAACGGAGTGCGTACTGAGGACCAAGTGTCAAAGCCCGTCAGGAATACAGACAATGGTTGAGGAGATGATATGTTTTGTTTAAACAAATTGGATATGCTTGGAAGAATTGTTGAGCAGAAGAACAACGAGTTTTGGATAGGGAAGACATTTGGACTGACTGTAGACTTCGGATAGACGATGGGAGTGAACAAAAGTTGTTGTTATTGATGGTATGCGAGAGAATAAGATTATAAATCAAAGTGACAAGATGGTCCAGGGCTCAGTTCAGTTGAGAATAAAGAAGACAAATGAGACTGGAAAAGAGGTGTACAGTGTCGGAATCAAAAAAGAGGCGTACAGAGTCAGAACCGTTGATGCAGCATGTGTCGCCTCACCTAGGTATAAGTCATATCAGTAATCCGAATCAGAATTGCATCAGCATGATATTCAAACTCCGCTTAAGGCATCATAATGAGGTCGTAATGAGGGTCAAAATCATTTTGAGCCTGATTGTAACATGTGACCATTATGATGCCGGTAAAAAATCTCCGACAGTAGAAAGGAGTGTGGTGTTTAATATGGCGGAGGTGGAGATGCCCATAGGACAAGCAAGAGAACCGGCACACCATGCGGTACGAATCGATGATGTCGGGTCAGCACCTAAAAATCAGTAAACCATGCAGTACGAATTGATGATGGCAGTTCAACACTCACCGGCCAAGGACTACTTCAAAACCCCCCTCCAGACCATCTAGGTCAACACTTCAAACCACCCGCTCCACCATGTCGATCTGGAAGGGTAAGGATAGAGTTAGCTTACATCAAGAGCCTGCGCGATGGCACAGGCACCACAGACGGCAGGAGTACTGACTTACCTCGTGGGATGCAGCCTGTGGGGGAGTCCAGTAACCTGGCTGTTGAGCTAGGAATGGTGGGGGAGTATGGTGAGATGGACGAGGACAATGAAGAAATCTTCACGATGGTTGCAGGAGTAGTGGCAGTAGAAGGGACCGATCCCACGACAGTCAAGGAAGCCAGTGCATGGACCGATTGGCCTAAATGGGAAGATGTGATCAACAAGGAATTAAACACACTGGAAGAAGCACGTACCTGGACCATTGTCGAACAGCCGGACAACGTCAACATTGTAGGCTGCAAGTGGGTCTTCAGGATCAAGAGGAACACTGATGGAGAGGTTGAGAAGTATAAAGCGAGATTAGTGGCAAAGGGGTACTCACAGGTGTATGGACTCGACTACTACAACACCTACACGCTGGTGGCGCATCTCACCTCCCTTCGCATGGTACTTGCAGTTGCGGCCAGGAGAGATTGGGACATAGACATTTTCGATTTCCACAGTGCATTCCTAAACAGGAAATTAGACACTGATGAGGTAATCTACATGGAACTCCCACCTGGACTCAACGTTGACAACAAGTACAAACATCCCGTCGCTCGCCTTCACGTTGCCCTCTACAGTTCAAAACAAGGCGCCCTCAAGTGGTATCAAGAGCTCTGCCGGCTGTTGTTTGGATTAGGGATGAGAAGAGCAGAGTCAGATTGGGGAGTGTTTTTCAAACACATAGGCATGAATATTCTCGTTCTCGCTGTAGAAACAACAATACAGAGAGGAACAATTAATGCTCCTAGCTGTATCTATAATAGTTGAAGGTCGTGCATTGCCTAGCCTGCGTTACTTGAGGAGACAAGTGCGTTCGACCCTAAAGGGGAAGCGAGTGCAGCCAAGATCTAGAGGTACGCGCTTCAGCGAAGCGCGAGAAAGTGCAGGTGCGCGCAAGGCGCGGGAACACGCGCGCGTATGCGGAAAATGATAAAGACTAGACTCAAGTGATAATATAATGCAAGAAAAGAGAAGGGAGATGCGAAGTATAGACAAAATAGACTTCTACTATATTCTGCTAAGTAGTAAGTAAGTGATAACTAGTAATTGGGAGGTAAAAGTAAGGTAAGTAATAGTATGTACTGCTGGCGCTTATATAGCGCGCCTAAGCGCGGTCATGCGGAGCCAAAGCGCTACCGAGTAGGTATGTAAAAATATATATGAGTGAGAAACTATGATAAAAATAAAGGTGGAACTATGCTAATAAAGGAAATGGAAATATACGTACTAGGGAGCTTGGTGGACAGTGGATGGATGCATCTGAATGGCTGGCGCTATAGGGCGTGCAAGCGCGGGAATGCGCGCACGCGCATACATCGTGAAGCACGGGAATGGTGCGCGCATGGCGCGGGAAAGCTGCGCCTCATATAGAGATAGCTGCGGGTAGTGCACAGAGTGACACTACAAGTTCGTGCTATGTACTTCCTAGTGTAAAGCGCCATATCAGACCATGAGACGCATGAGTCTCTACATCTCCCTGGGACTTTAAATTCTGAGTGTCCCCACTCAGCGCGTGTGTGGTGAGGATTTTGCGTGAGAGTATGCAAGTGCGATGCTTGTACGATGCTTTGGTTGTTGGGCGATGAATGCGTGAGCATAGGAATGGTATGTGTGAAGCGCGGGAAGTTGCGCGCATGGCGCGCGCGAGGCGCGAGAATGTGCGTGTGCTAGGCATGAAGGCGCGGGAATGAAGCATAGCATGGTGGATTGCAAGGGTGACTCTGGTGTGAATAGTGTTCCCTGGGTGTGAGGCGATGATGCGAGAGTGATATGGATGTGGCGCGCAAGGTGTGGGCGAGATGCGTGCATATGGTGTAAAGCACGAGAAAGTGCGTGAGTGTTGCATGTGTTGTATTCTGTGGGGACACCATGAGCTGTTGTGCAATGCTCTTGGAGTCCAGTATGCGTGTGTGCGTGTGATGCGAAGTGGCGCGGTCCAAGAGCAATCCAATCCATGTCCAAACCAAGTCCTGCTAGGCGCGCTAAATATTAGATGCTAAAGAGTTTGAACAGTGTGAGTAAAACTATATGCGAAATGCGAAGGAAAAAACAGTAACTTTGCAGATGTCCTATCCGACTTGTCTTCTTCATGCAGCTGTCAACATCTACACCTTCCTATGAGCGAGGCGCGAGAAGTGCGCATGTGCGCGCACGCGCGAGGCGTATGGGCGCGGGAGGTTTGCGCATATGTGCGCGTGAGCATGGGAAGACTGCGCGCATATGTGCGCGTTCTAAGGTAAAAAGGGCATGGTGCCGCGTCATGCGTGCGAAGAGAAAATAATACTATTGAGCTAGGTGGGCACAATCTAAGGTTGTTTTCTTGTTTTTGGCGACTCCTATGTGTATATATATCAGTAAGTTATTAGTTCTTTGGATGGCGTTATGATGAGAGAAAATAAAATGAAAGAGCGCTGGACGAAACCCAGGGTAAAACGAATGGTATCCTATGAAACAGCGATGGTATACGTTGTTCTTTGATGCGCAGCTGAGGCGCTTGATCCTCCTCCTTGAGTGCGTGCGAGTGCGCGTAATAGCGCACTTCACGTCTCTTGCGAGCTAACGCGTTACCCAAGGTAGGGTTGGAATGTGTGAGGCTGGCGCGCTTGGGTGGGCTTGTGACTGGCAGAATGAATTCCTGCACAACGCGCTGCAGGTTGAAGGCGCGCCAATGGAAGCCGCTGCAAGGGGTGTAGGGGCGCCCTACAAGCTGATAGGATGCGCGCGATGTGCGCGCCTTGGTGCGATTTCGCGCGAATTTGATTATATTGGCCGAACACGCGAGGAACGGCCACTTCTCTGTAAATGTGTTAGCGAGAAATGTATATAGTGAAGTATTAGGCGCAAATGTCGTGCCAATGGGCTGTAAGGGTGGTATATCAAGGCGCAATAGGCGCATAGGTGAAGGAGAATAGTGCGCATCAAGGCGCGCAGGAATGAAATTGACATGGTAAGCAAAAGTGCGAAGAATGCGAATAAATGTGCGAAGTGCGAAGTTAAAGGTGATGATAGGGGGGTTAGGCGCATATGTATGTGTCAGGCGCGCGCCTATGTCGCGCCTGGATGTCTGATTGGAATATACCTTGTGTTGAATGATAGAAATGCAATTTAGAAGGGGAGAAGCAATAGAAATGTGGTAGCATGAAAACTCTGCTAAAATTATGAGTGCGCGAGGCGCGGGAACACGCGCGCATATTGCGCGATGTGCGTGATCATGGCGCGTGAACAAGGGGTGGTGCAAAGATGAAATTAAAGTGATTGGAATTGTCAAATAGCTCCTTAAGAGCTTTAAACATGAAAGAGACAGAAAACGCGAAATGAGACGAGGGTAAATATACAATACCTCTAGGCGCGCGCATTGCGCGCCCTCAGGCGCAATATGGTGCGCCTGAGTCGCGCCATGGTCGCCTGAGACATGCTCTGCTTGGTGGTTAGATGGCGTGATGCACGGATGCTTTACCGGCATGTGATAGTCACTGGAAGCAAAAAGTGCGATGTGCGCGTGATCGCGAGTGACATCTGGAATTTCCAGAGACAAACTCTGGTTGATGCAAGGTGCGACTTGAGCCTCTGATGCGGCAGGAGGCTCCTCTATAGGTGCGCTAAGGTGCAATAGATGTTTAGGGTCATCCCTGACCTCTGATGATGCGAGTGGCGATAGCAGTGATGGCGATGGTGCGATTGGCGAGGTTTCTTCCTTAAGCGATGCGATAGGTGGGCGTGTTTCAAGCGATGGCGTAATAACGTCCACAATGGGCGCGTTACTGTGCAATAGATATTTAGAGTCATCCCTGACTTCTAGCGAGGTGATAGCGATAGGCGCGCGCGATGCGATAGCGATAGGCGCACGTGTTTCAACTGGCGCGTTAGTGTGCAATAGATGATTATAGTCATCCCTGACTACTGATGCTGTGATTGGTGATGATGATGCGGATAATGATGGAGATTGTGAAGGAGATGGTGCTGATGATGAAGGTGAAGAGGCGCCTGCAGCGCGCTTTGCGAGCGCGCGCTCGAGTTCGTGATCTAAAGCGATGCATTCTGGTATACCTTTGTATGCTGGCGCAGTTGATGGTTGAGGTGCGCGTGATTCACGCGAAGGCGCAGGAAAGGCGCGCGCGTGAGGTGCGTGAATAGGAACTGGTGGCCTTTTGTCAAGTACAGCTTCTGAGGGTGCGCGATAGAAGAGTCCAGCTGTTGCATTAGCGCTAATGGTCGTATCCTGCGTTGCATGACTCGCATGGTATTGATCTTTGTACTTAGCCACTTTAGCTTGCACTGGCGCAGTTGCTGTGACTAAGGTGGCAATTGGTGCTACTATGGGCGCGCTAACTTGCGCGCTTGGCGCGGGAAAAGCGCGCGCAGGTAATAGGAACTGCACAGCTGCGAAGATGTCCATGAATGGGTATGGGTCGTATGGGTGGTGGTCAGGGAACTTGATCATAAGGCGCAAGTGGATTTGCGCCTGAGCATCGCTAGGGATTCCTTCCATGAATAAGTGGTCGCGTTCGGCCTTTCCAATACGGTCTTCGTCCATGAGTGGCTGCATAATCTTCCTGAATGCGTGCAGGTAATTGCTTAATTCTGTGCAAGAGGGCATTGGTTTGTTAGCGTATTCGCGCGCGATGGTGCGCAAGTCCGCGAGCGCGTAGCGTCTTTTACCATCCCATCCAGGATACATTACCTTCACCTCATCTAAAAAGGCGCTGTAATTATCTACTGCCGCTTCTGGCATGCCTCCCCATAGTTCTCGATCATCGTGCGCAAGGTAGCAGATGATACCTTTGATGCGGTCGAGTCCTTGGAGTCCTGCTTCATCAGCAAGCTGCTCATATGTGTCAATAAATTCGGCGAGGTTGTCTGTAGTGCCGTCGAACTTGGGCGCGTTTGCTGTGCCGCGGATGGGCAATCTATAAGGCATTGAGGCGCGAAAAAGCGCAGGCGCACGCGAGGCGTATAACAGGTGCGCGCGTGAGGCGCAGAGGCGTGGGAAAGCGCGCGCACAAGGCGCGAGAATGTGTGACTAGAAATTGGTTAGCTTTTGAAATACAAAGAGATTGACCTGTATGTGTTAAATAGCGTGAAGTGCGAAGATGCGCAAAAGTAGATCTTGCTGACTGCTCCCCTCGCGGTGGGCTCCAGTTGAAGGTACAACAATTCAGATGGTGAGTCTGAACAATGTTGGGTCTATGCAGAACCTAGCTGCTATTCGACCCTAAAGGGTTTCTGGACCAGGCTTAAGGCTCAGAGGAGAGGAAATATCATAAAGAACTACTGAGCACTCAGACTCATACTGGTAACTGGTGAAAAGATTGATTGCTTATGTAAGCTACAAAAGTGCCAACATAAGGTAAGGTAAAAACAGTCTCTACAAGCCCAGCCAGAAATGAATCCCTACATCACGTCTCACGTTGATGACTGTACTCTCACCGGCAGCAACAGCAACCTCATCACCAAGTTCAAGTCTGACGTTGCCACTCACTTCAAGCTCACAGATCTTGGCCCCATCACATCCTTGCTCGGCATGAAGGTCACACGCAACAGAGTTGTGCAGACCATTTCCTTCTCGCACGAAAGCTACATTGAGTCCATCCTAGCTAAGTATAACTTCCCAGACGTCAAACCTTCCTCCATCCCAATGGATCCTAACACACCACTCACCCAATCACAATCTCCCAAGACTCCCACTGAGTCAATGCTCATGAAGCACATCCCATATCGCGAGGCCATCAGCTCGCTCATGCACCTCGCTGTCGGCACCCAGCCAGACATAGTGTTTGCCATCTCGACTGTCACCCAATATGGCGCCAATCCTGGCATGGCCCACTGGGAGGCCATCAAGAAGATCTTTCGGTACCTCACAGGTACAAAAAAGATGGTGCTCACCTTTGGTCAAGGCAAACTCAGCCTTGAAGGCTACGTGGATACTGATGGTGCCTTGCAGGACCATAGACACTGTCCTGGAGCTCGAAGAAGCAGGAGCTGGTGACACTCTCCACAACAGAGGCCAAGTATGTCGCTGCCACGCATGCGGCAAAGGGAAGCCATCTGGCTCCGGCGCCTTATCTCAGAAGTATTTCACCCACTCACGCAGCCAACAACCCTCTACTGCGACAATCAGTCCACTATCGCACTCGCAAACTCTGGCGTGTTTCACGCGCGCACCAAGCACATAGATATTAGGTACCATTTTATTCATTTTTCAATTGACAAAGGTTCTATTTTACTAGAGTACTGCCCTACGGACGATATGATCACAGACACTCTAACCAAACCCCTTCCTAGCCTCAAGGCTAAACACTTCACTACTGCTCTTGGACTCCATTCGGTTTGAGGGGGAGTGTCTAAGGATTATGAGTTGAAGTAATACTAAGTTAGGGTTAGTACTATAATAGTATTTTACTGTGAGGCTATATGTCATAATGTTGCCGATGTCCAGTTCATGAACCGTCTGAACTGGGTTCGAACACCATCTGTAAACTACAAATTTCCCCACAGACATCAACATTTTTGACAGTTTCCCACAGTAACCCACAGAGGGACAGCGCTCACAGCACATTTCTCCGGGGCATCAAATTTTTTCGACAGTAACCTACAGTAACCCACAGAGGGACAGCGCTCACAGCACATTTCTCCGGGGCATCAAATTTTTTCAACAGTAACCTACAGTAACCCACAGCAGGACAGCACTCACAGCACATTTCTCCCGGGCATTGAATTTTTTTCAACAGTAACCCACAGAGAGACAGAGCTCACAGGATGTACAGCCTCACAGTGTTTGTCAGTAAAATAGCTACCTCGAGCGCTAGTAGTAGTAGTACCTGAAAGTACTTAGTAAAATTAAAATTTAACAAGCGGACCAGTCGCCTTAGGACATTGCAGCTGTTTTACAATCAATTACAATAACAGTCTGTATACTACGCTCGCCATTGTCTTCTCCTCACCTACATGAATTGGTTCCGCGGGATCAAACATTTCGTACTAGAAGTCACACAATTCAAGCGTCGAGATGGAACAAAATTTTATGTCCATATTTACTATACTACTAGCCTAGTACCAGTACTGCTAAATACAAACTATTTGACACAATTTGAAAGAAGGGACGAGGCATCAGTCCAACTGGATCGTTAGCTGACGGCAGGATGCGAATGAGTCTATGACGAGGTTAGTTGGTAGTGTATACATAATAAGAGTACTTACCAAGAGAACTGTGTGCTGGCTGATGTGAAAGACCGTGTTTTTTGAATGTGACACGCATATGGCCTAGTCCTACATCAGCCTTGTCAAGCTTCCGCTTGGAAATGACAGACTTGTATCTTGAAAGACTGGTCATGACCTCGTGCTCTCGCACGATGCAATCAGCAAGTTTTTCTCCGCATTAACTATATCGCGTCGGGCCCTTGCGAGATCCATGATCAGGTTGGCTTCACAGTCGTCAACGTCATTGATGGTCTGTACACACGTTAACGAGCAGTGCCTAGTAAGAGTCAGATATCAGTCACTTACCATTGACCCAATAGCATTGACCACGTCGTACAAGTCAGCGATTCCGCTACTGGGAGGCTCACTAAAAGTTCGGCTCGCTTGCCACTTATTGGAGTTTTGCGGGCGCATATTTGACAATGATGGTACATCACTAGAAATATTTAGGTGGATTGGTATGTTGGACATGGGTGTTTTGAGAATATGGCTTATTGATTCCGCAAGGTATTACTTACAGCTTCCTCGGAATCTCACGCGTCAATTGTACTACATATGACATTCCAGTGTCCTTCGTGCGGGAAAGGTGGTTTCAAGGATGATGTAGCCGTTGCTCGGCACATGAGCCAACCTCGCTCTGGCTGCAGTACATGGCTGCAGGATTTGATATGCTCGCGCTCTGAGTCTGATATGGACGATGAACCTGTGAGTACTAATACTATGGACGATGGACCACATACTATTCCCGACATCGAGACTGGTGGTTTTGGAGATTGGGATGAGATGTTTGGAGGGAGTAGTAGTGAGCGCCAGGCTTACGAAGAGAGGACACCAACTCGTAACTCAGAAGTCATCGACTTGTATCCTGACTGCGCTCGATCATACGGCAGGGGCTACACATTCCTCGATGTATTCAATTCAGACGAGAACAGCAAACACTGTGCAATGAACCCGTATTATCCATTCAGTGGCCAGAAAGACTGGGAAGTTGGGTCATGGCTACTTCGCTCTGGATTAAGCATGGGGAAGATAGACAGTTTTCTTTCGCTCGACATGGTGAGTAATAAATTCTTTTTGATAACATACAATTTTTGAAGGTGTCTTCTTTAGATAAAGACCCTTCCGTTGTCGTTCCATTCGGCCAAGGAGCTGCATGGCAGAGCGGAAATGTTGCCTAGTGGCCCGCGCTGGATGTCTCAAGTAGTACCTACAGCACATCCCACAAAATTGCCTGTTGTCTTGTATTGGCGTGATCCCTTAGATTGTATTTCGGGCCTTCTCAACCACCCTGCCTTTCACAATCATCGAGACTTTACGCCTCGCAGGGTGTATAGCACTGCGCAGCGGCTGTGCCGTGTATATTCAGAGTGGATGACTAGTGATGATGCGTGGAATATGCAGGTACGTATAGTTTCATCTGTGCGAGTCGTCGTACTTATCGATTTTCGGACAGTCGGCCCTACCAAGAGGTGCAACACTCCTGGGGACCATCTTATCGTCTGACAAGACGAATATATCAACCATGACGGGTGACAGAGTTGCACACCCCCTTCTGATTAGTCTTGCCAACATAGGCATGTCCACGCGACTCAAGTCGTCTTCGAATGCCTTTGTGCTTACTGCTCTACTTCCTGTCCCAAAATTCATCTACAAGAAAAAATGCATGCGAGGCGTACTTGAGGATTGCCTCATTCACGAATGCTTAGATATTGTTCTCCGTCCACTCAAGCTGGCTGCTCACGAAGGAGTCATGCTATCGGACCCTGTTGGACACAGTCGCTACTGTTTTACACCACTTGCGAGCTACATTGTCGATACCCCGGAGGCCATGATGCTGGCTTCTGTTGGCAGGAAAACCTCCCCAGTCACTACGGCCATGTACAAACAGTTTGGAGACCCTTTCCGTCATGAGCCTCGCACACGAGCAACTACACTCTCCCAGCTGGACATTGCGCGGAGTAAAGCTGATCCCAATGACATCGAGATATTTTTTCGCAAAGCACAGAAGTTTCGTTTGAATGGCGTGAACGCACCATTCTGGATGGATTGGGTCCTCAGTGATCCATCACATTTTCTCACTCCCGAATTTCTTCACCTCATTCATCGCGAGTTCTACAACCACGACACAAAGTGGCTTATTTGCGCAGTAGGTGATACAGAGATTGACTTTCGGTTCTCTGTGTTGCAGGCTGTCACTGGGTTCCGTCATTTTCATGGCAGGATTTCAAAACTCAAACAGGTTACAGGACGTACTCAACGCGACATTCAACGCTCAATCATTGCAGTCAGTGCGGATGCAATTCCTAGCGCAGTGATGACTGCTGTACGAGCTCTGATGGACTTTCGATATCTCGTACAGTCACCCGTAATTGACGACATCCTACTCGCCCGAATTTCCACTGCACTTGATCATTTTCACGCTAACAAAGATGCTATTATAGAGGGTGGATTTCGTCGTGGTCAGCGTGGCAGAGTTATCGAGAACTGGTACATACCGAAGCTTGAGCTTATGCAGTCCATAGTTCCAAGCATAAAGAACACTGGAGTTCCTCTGCAATGGACAGCCGATACCACGGAGCATGCCCACATAACAGAAATCAAAAGTCCTGCTCGCTCGAGCAATAATAATAATTACGATCCCCAGATATGTCGCCATCTTGACCATGCTGATAAATGCCGCTGCTTTGACCTCGCTATGAGTCTGCTCGACAATGTCCCAGACTCAGGGCAGCAGGATCCAGATGATGATGAGAAGGATGAGAATGTCGATTTCGACATGGACGATGATCACGATATCCCAGCAGACCTTCTTACGACAATGAAACACCCTGGACATTCGTGTCCAATCACAAATTACTTCAGAATTGCCAAGGTCCTCCAGCACAGGGAAGTGGGGACAGTCATCATTAACAACAAGGCGAGGTACTTATGGCCAGAAGATGGTCTTCGTGGTACGTTATGATCTTATGTCACGCTGAATCTCTACTTATTGTCAAGTCGCAGGTCATATGATTGGCCAAATCAGGCTTATCATGCGTGCTGTTGGAAAAAGTGGCACGAATTGGTCATGGAAGGACCACTTTCTGGTTTACATGCATGGCTTTGACATTGTTCCTCAAAGCTCCGGTGCTGATGATCGTGAGCCAAGTATGCAGCTCCACTTGCTCAAATGAGCGAAGCGTTCGAATGGCACTTGGGTGGGCGATGTCATACCTGTGACACAGCTCAGAGCACCTGTCAACCTTGTCCCTCGCTTCGGTGCAAGTGCAGACAACCGTCTCACCCCATATAATAGCATGGAACATGCTTCTCAGTTCTGGCTCAACAGGTATTGGGATAAGAATGTATATTTTCCCCTTTCCATGTAGCTTTTGGTGTAGCTTCCGTGCGACATTCGTGATGGTTGAGTGGTCTTATCTAGCCTATGCCAGAAGTTATTCTAGTCTGTTTTATTCTTAGATCACCGAACTGAGTACTGAGTTTTGATGGGCGCTATTATGTGGCGATAAGCTCTCATTCTTTGTGCCATTATTGTCCGTGTACAAAAAAATGGTGTTCTTTTTCAGGACTGTTGACAACGGAATCAAATTGTCATCGTTGTTGTCTATCCACGATGTCACCGACGTCCATACTATGAACAAGATCACCTCTGACGAGCTCAATCGTCTGGTCACTCATGAGGGTTCACCAAAGGCCTCGCAACCACTGGGACACCTGCTCTCCAAAATATTCCAGTCTTTCACGGTTCCTCTTCCCGATGTATTCAGCCTTAAAATCCCATTCGGAAAAATCCTTTATCGTAACCAACGCATCAACGAGAAATTCAGTGGGACGTCGCCCGATACTCTTGTGCCACTGTACGATACTGAAGCAAAGGCTTGGAACTGGGCCCTTCCAGTTGACCCTCCTAAAAATGCCAGTAGTAGTCGTTCGGGTGCAGACTCAGAGGGCGAGTCAGAGGGTGATGATATGCAGAAAGCAACTCACGAAGAAATCTTTGCTGCATTTCTCAATGCTCTGGCTGGCTGCTTAGCAGCGTTGCAGCCCAAACTAGTAGAAATGCGCTTTGCAACCAGCACATGGAGCGCAGCCAGTGCACAGAAGGCATTACCTGGCAGCGACATCAAGCGCAAGCCAGATCTCGTTTTATCTGACGATATATCGGCAAAGTGGGGGAACATCAGGGTATCAGCCGAACTCACTCACAGTCGATACCGGCCTGCGATGCGACTCGGGAAGGCTGCAGATACTCATGCCTATATTATGATGAGTGAACAGCCATGGAGGCGCTTTGCTCTCATATTATCATTCACAGATGAATATTGCCACCTTAGAGTCCTAATGTATGATCACTCTGGTGGCGCCGTGTCTCCTCGCTTTGATATTTAAAAACAACCGGACATATTTTCACATATAATCGCTGCCATCAATTTCGGGAGTCTAGAGTGTGTCGGCTATGATCCGACAGTCTCATTCTCAAAGATTGTTTCACCACCCCGATTCAAAGATATCAACTGCTATCATCCCATTAGAAACGCTCCTGCCCGACCAAGTACGACGGACTGTACTGTTGCCGTATCCACTTCCTCCCTTCCATTTCCTGAGGATCCTGATGGAGTGTCGTCCAGTGATGCCCTTGAATCAGTAGTTGCTAGTGACTCTAGTGACTCTGACTCGACGGAAGAAGGTCCGAGTGGTTCCGCTACACATTACTCAATGGACGAAGAGCATTTCCCACCCCCCTCCCTCCCAGTGCACCCCACTGCAACCCGTAGTGCTCCCCTTCTCAGCCTCGCATCCCAAATGCCCCAGGCTGAGATGACCGAGAGCATCTATTCTGTCACCCCTCTCTCTTCCCAATTCCCTTACTCTGCTCAATCACCTGAACCTTGCAGTAAAATCTGTGTAGGGCAGAAGGTCTACACTATAAGAAGAATCATTTTTGCGAGCTGAGGTCTTGTTGGTCGCGGAACCGTTTGCTATTTGGCAACTTTAGACGATGAAGACTACATAATAAAAGACCATTGGGTTGTAGGCAAGGATGACAATGTAGTCTTGAACAAGATCAAGATGCTGGAATTGATGGATGGCCTCCCTGGCATTCCAAAGCTGGTGGATCATTGGGTCGTTGAACAGTCAGATGGTGATCCCGATGTTACCCGAAAATATTGGCAGAAAGAACGCCGGAGTACCAGGGGCACTAGTCGTACTCATGTACATCTTGTCTTGAAGCCATGTGGTCGCCCCCTTCACATGTTCCGAACACTGAAGGAGTTTGTGTGGGCACTAAGGGATATCGTTAAGAGTAAGTTTTTAGTACTTTGGGGTACAGGTGTCTTGGACTGATACTCTTTGATGTTAGTTCAACAAGCTGCGGTGGAGGAACATCAGATTTTGCATCGGGACTGTAGTCTCAACAATGCGATGATCCTAGACGAACCTGAAGGTAGTGAAGGGTTTCTTATTGACTGGGAGTTTGCCGTTTGGATTGCCTCAGATCATAAATATCCCATTGGCAGTACAGTAAGTACACCTTATTCATTAAATATTCAGTTCATTAATTGATTTGCCAGGGCACAGTCCCTTTCATGTCACGCGGACTTCTCAATCAATATGCGGTCCTGCAGCAGGAGGCGGACCTGGAATTGAAGAGGAAGAAGACGGCGAAGAAGAAAGAGACTCGGGGACGCAATTCAGTCGACAAACCAAAAACCCCGAAATCATCCTCTGATTCTCTGGCGCTACCTGTATCATACGTCATCCAAGGCTATGTGGATGACCTGGAGTCCCTTTTTTCGTGTTCGCTTGGGTTTGCATCAAGTTTTGTGGTCCCAATGGTATGGTGCGGGAGCGCTTGCCCAATTCGTTGGTGGATCGTTGGACCAGCCTTGACCTGGGATCGTGCGCAGCCTTCAAGATCACCTTTTTCGCTTATCCAGGAGAGGAAAAGCGTCTCACAGACCAATTTCACCCGTACTTCAAGCAGCTGATCCCCCTTGCAGTAGAGTGGCGTAGAGTTCTGGTGGACAACATGATCCACCCCGTTACCTTCGACACCATTCTCGCTGTACTCAACTCTCATCTCGACAAACTCCCCGACGACGAGGAGCTTGTATCTGCTGTGGACATGCTCAGGAATGATGCTGCCATTCTCACGAAACGTGTTAAGGGCAAACAGATTGCTTCAGACCCTCCCTCTGTAGTAGCACCCAAGCGGCAGAAGTCTCATCATAGTGATACCAAGTCTGACTCAGCATTGGGCAGTGACGCATGACCAGGAGGTGAAGCCTACTCATTACACATATTCAGCTATTTTTCTTCTTTACTGACTTAGTATGAATGACATGTTTAACTTTAGCAGTAGTATTTCTAGAATCTCGCTGGCTTGTACTATTAGTATGTTGCGTTTTTACTATAGTTCACTGACCGGTACCTATGATATTGTTGTTCTGACTATATCATTCTTTTTCAAGCTTTTTTCAAGTGTTTATCTTTTTACAATCAAGATACTAGTAGTATGCCAGGATCTGATATAGTATCACTACTAGTAGGTTCTGGCACGATTCATGTTATGTGTAGCATTTTCGCTTACATGATCGGCAATTTCTCTTATGAGTACTATTACCAATGACGAAGGTTTTTTCACGCTAGTCATGCAAATCGATTTGGAGTACGACGTGATAGTAACAATCCTCATGGTGGTATGTTTCTTTATTACTATCATTCTTATTAATGATAAACTTTTCTCTCGCTACCCATACAGCTATTAAGTATTAGTACACGGATGAGCCATGGTATAAAATCATCGTAAGTCTGGGATAATTTATCAGAGTCACTTCTTCCTCTGTTCTTCATTACAGTCATGCCTCCTCGTGCCATCGCCAGTCCTAAGAAGAAACGATCTGGCAAGCGCAAAGGATCCGATGCTTCAAAGGCCAGCTTGCCAAAGAAGTCTCAGGCTGCAGACATTGCTGAGGTACCCAGCACGGTACCCCTCGTGTCCCTTGGCCTGACTGGAGCAGAAGCGGAACAAAATGCTCCCCGGCGTTCTGGTCGCCCTAACACAGGAACTGGAGGTAGGAATGCACAACTGGAGAAGATTGGATCAGTATTGCAATCCAAGCCTCGGACTCAAGAATGTAAGGGTACAATGTCCCTTGGTCTCAATGTTCCAGTCAATCCTCAAGCCCCAGAACCGCGTCGTAGAGGTCGAAAGAATCATTCAAAGGTAGGCGTCCAATTAATTCTGTTACTCATATTGATTGTTTCATAGGCAGTTCCTCCACCCTACAGCTCACTTGTTAGGGATGCTCCAGATGCCCCAGCCAAGGACATTATCGCCACAGGGCCCAGCTTTACATCCCAGCAACCTGGTGGAAGGTTTGGATTTGTTGCTCCAACAGAAATAGCTCATTCCAGTACTGCCCAGCCCAATATTCAGGCATTGCACAACCCGCATGTCACCATTGGGGCGAAGGACGCTGAGCAGCGCGCTCGGGATGCCATTGCTGAGCAACGAGCTCGAGACGCCATTGCCGAGCAATGAGCTTGGGACGCTATTGCTGAGAAGCGAACTCGGGATGCAATTGCTGAGTGGCATACCCAGAACGCTGTCTCTGAATATCCAGTGGTTTTGCCAAGGTCTGTCTTTCGGGAGGAGAATTTAGATCCAGCCCTACGTCAGCATGATGACACTGTTAGGGCTCAGCGTCGTCTGACGTCGTTTGAATCTGATGACAGTGACTCTAAAGACTGTAGCAGTGATGACAGCAATGATAGCAATGATAAAGATGCTGATGAAGAGGACAGCGGAGAGGATGACGAGGAGGAGGGGGGAAATGATGATACGGTCAAGAGCTCACAGCAGTTTGGTTGGGGGGAGGCTGGCCGATGCCAGAAAGAACACCCAGGTACACATTCTCGTGGTGTGATTTCGCTTCACTAATTCAATGTTATAGGGTTTGTGGAGGATGTACCACCTTTGCAATCTCCAGTCGCTCGCCCTCTCACACCTGAAATTCAGTTCCAGTACTCACGCGATGAAGATGATGTAGTTGCCCAGACGAGCCTTGATAAAACCTCGGTAAGTTTTCTGCTCAAGCCGGGAGTAACTCTCATTTTATATTGTTAATCCAGCAGAACGAAAGCTCTCAGGTATGGCCATATCGTTCAATTGTATCATGCTTACCATTGCCTTTCTTTCAAGGACCCTCTGGATATCTCACCAGGACCGCGGCGGCAAGCATCCCAACACATTGAGGTGAGATCAGGGAGACCATTTTAATTGACGCTCACCATCGAGCAGACCATCACCTCGAAGCCTGAGGATGTACTACAACGCCACCATAAGAAAAATGGAAAGCCCCGTCTTCCTGATCCTGAATCCCTCGAACTGCTGAATCAAGTGTCCGAGTGTGATGTTCAGCCATTGAAAAACAAAAAGTCTAGGTCATCGCGTGGTGGGCCAACACCTGATCAATTATCTTGGTACGGACCACACTGGAAAAGTTTTTTGGAGGACGCCAAAGTAGAATGTCGTGCACAACATGCCCTGGAGAACCCGTTTCCAACTTTGGTGAAGAATCTTCCAGGAACAATCACTGAAGTTGTCATTGCAGTATTGGTTGTGTGGGATACGAATGGTAAACAATTTGAAGCTGGTAGGCACTTGTTCGTTCTCATTCGTTCTCGAACTAATATGTCATATTCTGATGCAGGGGTTTGGCCAGAACAAAAATTTAATATGACTCGGTTGGTGCATGCATAACTGACTTTGTGCCAATATCTCGTTGACAGTCTGTATTAAAGCTGTATGACGATCTTTCGACTTGGCGATCTGACTTGAAGAAAACAGCCATAAGCATTGCACCAGTATCATATTCGCTTATTCCTCCGCTTTCTGTCCCCGTTCAGGAACGTGCTGCTTGGGTCGAGCACACTGCTGCTGAATTGATCAAGGAAGCATTCTTCTTACACTTTGGGGTGGATGATCAGGTAAGTGATCTTGTGGTGATCGCAACTCTACTGATGGAAGATTTCTAGGGGAGAACACGAAACTTCGCTCATCCCGCCCTTCGTGAAGCTGTCATCACATTCTTTTACACAGGACCATATCGAATTGCACGAAGGATGCCGGAGACCTTTAGCACGGAATTGCCACTCTCATGTTTGGCTTTGGTTGCTGCGGCAGTAATTTCGTCTCCCTCGCCAATGTCATGTGTTAATTTTCTGTCTTGAAACTAGTTCAATTGTGTCTTCGATGGTCTTGTGAAAAACGGACATGGGAAGTCATACCTAAACTTTTCCACCAAGGACTACGGCCCTGTCTATTGTCGGATGCTCAAATTGCTCAAACATATCCTTGAGGATGTGTATCATGGGCCTAGGCTGTCAGCTCAACTGCGAGAATGGGCTGCAGCAGGATGGTGAGGATCTTTTCTCTCTGATAATTTTTTTACTGATTTTCATTTGTACAGGGCTGCAGCTATGAATCTCGAAGGAGTTGTTAATGCCAGACACGACCACCTGCAGATTCTTCTTGACTAAAAGCTTCGTATTCCCGCTGTCACGAGTTCCAAATACAAACCATTATTCGTTCCTTAATTCTAAATCCTTTAAGTGCCCAGTCACAGCGCCTGTCCCTAAGAATATGTTTACTGTTGAAGAAGTTCCTATTATTGCGTCTATTGTAGAATTACCAGAGTCATGTGATCTATCGGACAATGCCGAAGATGTTGATGTCATGCCTCGCGACACTCTTGGAATGTTCCAGAGTCTTACTGCGGCTGCAGCACATGTTATGACATCATAGTTATATATAGAATCATACGATACCTTTAATTATTCTGATTGGTTAGTTAGTTCATACTCAGTTTCAATCTCAGTTTCAATATGTGTATATAGGTAGCTCATCATAGTCAGTAGTTCTTTAGTTCAAACCTCTTGTATCTCCAAGTGAGCAATCCAAGACGTACCTGCTGCCTTATCCTCTTTGTGACTATCTTGTTGTTTGAGTCCTAGTCTCTGCCCTGCATTAATTCATTTAAGGGGTTGTGACACCCGCTCCCCAGTTTATGTCAAGCATTTATCGTTTTTGGCGCACGTATCATTGTATTTACTGTTTGTCGTGGTCATGTGATTCAATATATTGGTTTTGTTTTTTTGTTTTAAAATTTTTGTGTTGTCCAGTGTGTGTAAGCAGTACAGCGAGCAAATGTCTGTACAGCTCCGGGTCTCTGAGTGCTCTGTGGGTGTCTGTACAGAGATGGACAGCGAAAGAATTTGCAATTCAAGTAGATTTTCGTAATTACTGGGCAGTCTGTAGGTGTCTGTACAGAGATTCACAGCGCAAGGTGTCGCTGTGATGGACTGGCTAATTGGGACCAAGCTGTAGTGCTTGCACGCTGTACAGCGCTGCACAGTGCAAAGTGGTTTACTGATGACTGAACCGGACTGGGTCCAGTCCATATTTTGTTCGGTTCAACCTATGCTCCCTGTGGTCAGGTTCTGGGTTCATAGTTCTCTGACTTATTGTATGGACTAATTGAACCTGTCCGAACCGTGTTCAAACTGCAAGCCTTGATCTCCAAGAATGGGAGCTAGATGATCTGATGTAGTGATAAAAACTGTACAGTTATTCAAATTTCACTTATTTCAGCCAGCTAGTAGTAGATCTTGGTACGATTATCATAAGATTCATAACTAAATTTGCCATCATGGATCAAAACCAATGTGCGCTCAATGCAGATTGCTCTCTCAAGGATGCATCTGAAATTGATTGGGTGCACTCTCCTTCACATGCAACTACAGATCTGATACTCACAGCACCGAGCTCACCATCACCTCAGATTACCTGGCTATCCAGGGATCTTCGGTCCCTTGTGAACGAGCATTTTCCCATGCAGGACTCACAGACACCAAACACTGTGCTCGACTTTTGCCCGAAAATTTTGGTGCTAGCATCAGGAAATCATGAGTTTACTTAATCCTTACTTTTTCAAACTTTTCTCACTTATTTAAAATGGACCTACTTTTTTTCTGAAATTTGACAACTACTTCAAAATTGAGTATTCCAATATGTTTGTTGGGCCTGAGAGACATGTTTCATTGCATCAGACCAACAATTAGTGACTAGTATGAAGCTTGAGTGACACATTAATGCTGATGATTTTCTTCCTTAAATGTTCTCTTGAGGTACCATCTTGCAAATTGAGAGTCTAATAATTTTATAGCACACATTTATAACAATGGTTAACAGATTCTGATAGTTCAGTTGGGACCAGGTAGTGATTTAAGAAAAATAAGTAGATCCATTTGAAATAAATGGGAAAAGTTTGAAATAAGTAAGGAATAAGTAAACTCATGATTTCCTGATGTATTCAAACAGTCAAAGGTCGGTACAAGAAAGAGCGGCAGCAGCAGCAGCAGGAGTCACTGGATGCCCAACGTGCGGCACAGAAAAGACGGTGGAACGAGGATTCATTGGCGCAGGTCGAACGAACTTCATAGTTAACATTATTGCATATTGTTCATCGCACCTAGTAAGACAAAGATACCAATGTAGCTGAAAAACGGTTCGGACCTGGTTCGGACCTGAACTGGACCCTTGGTGGACTGGACCACCGCTGAACACGGTCCAGTTTCAGGTTCAAAAGTACTCACCAAAACCTGGGAGGTCCGTGTTCAGGTTCGACAAAAATTTGCTCGAACCGGACTTGAACTGGACATCGGCAACATTAATACGTCATGTGAGAGCTGTGATGGAGCTCAAACTGCACCGGTGCTATATCTTGCACGAACGCTGTCGTTATACACCACTAACCTTCCCCACTTGCCTACACCCATCCCTCGAACATGACCTACGTCTCAAATTATCCAAGTTGGTGGCCGTATATCAGTTCAGATATTTTTGTCAGCTATTGGGGAGGTTTGTCGCATCAAGACGTCTAGATCTAATCTTGACATGCAGTCTCGCAGTTGCCGCAGGCGTCGTGGTGGTATATGATTGGGGTGAGCAGGGCAATGTTCGAAAATCGCTGATATTCTCATGATATTTTCAGTCTTAACACTCGGACAAGAGGTACGTCGATGTTATCGCTGGAGCAGCCAACTCGCTAACAATGGTGTCATAGATTGAACTCATCTGGGTGAGTTACAAGAGTTCCGTATCAGCAGAAAACAAGAGCATGCAATGAATTCGCGACAGAGACAATGCTGGTCTCTCATGACTGTGTTGTATTTGACTGTTCGTACCTCATATTGTGCTTTAGCATGGTGGGCGACTTGTGCTGACTCCAAAATGTTCTAGATACGCTATATTGGAATACCGTTTTCTGTGTATGTGTCGAGATCAATAACTTTGCACTGTGCTAATCGCTCATCTCTGACAACTAGTGTCAACCTTCTGCATATGTCTCATATGCGCTGTATTTCATTTTCTGACCGGCGAGACACAGCAATTATGCCATCGGTATCGCTGACAGATGGAGTAAGTTCTCTGCGACCATCTCATGCCTATCCAATGATTCCAATCAATATGCTCGTATGCAGGGGTGAGTGAGATTCCAAGCATTGAACTTGGCTTGATATAATGACTCGATAGGTGTAAGTCGGAGTCTCTGATACTAGTGCGAGGGCGTTCACTAATTGGGAGTTTTAGGCATTATCACGTACTACACAGAGAGTGTGATAAATCTAGTTGTAACTGCCATGTTGGGCGGTGAGTCACCCAGGTGCAATACCTCTGTGATATTGACCTGACTGACACACAATGCAAGTCATCATGATTGCTCGGTTGCATGCCATGTATCATGGATCCAGAAAGATGCTTATTTTTCTTGTTATTATCTTCCTGGCTGTAATCATCACCTGAGGAGTGATCTTGGCAATAGACCTCGAGTATTCTGTATGGGGTAAGCTTTGCTTGTTGACATGAAGACCACGGCTCATTGGGCAAACACCAGAGGAGTTCGTACTCTCTGGCACGCATATATGCTATTATGTAGATGGAGATGGAGCGAACCACCAGATTTCGTATTCAACGGTTTGGATCCTTTACACTGTTTGGGAGGTCCTCGCACTGTGTTTTTCAGTTTGGATTGCTGTGAAACACTTCTGTGACCTGCGACGACTCGGCACATCGACAGGATCGACCATCAGGGACTTTTTCAGAGTGCTGATACAATCTCACGTTCTCTATTTTGCAAGGTGAGCTTGTGATGTGAATGCGGTTATATTTGTCTGCTCAAGTTCCGCACATGTTAGCTTTGTTGGTGTCTCTTGCCTCCAGCTTATTGAACTCTCTCCAGAAATCGCGGTGCGCTGACCTGTTGCTAATATCTACGTGTAACCACTGCTCACCAGTTCTATAGAATCTGAATTCTATTGCAGCTCAGATACTCTATGGTGCTGTTCAAATGTTATTGGTCGTGCAGATGTTTGTGCTGGGACCACGCCTCATCCTCAGCATTCGAGAATACAATGCCAAACTCGTGGCATGCTCCGACGCAGAAACTAGCATGCATTTGATTGTCTTCCATGAGCGTGTACATGTATCAATTAGCAGTACTGTATAGGGAAATGCTTGCCGAGTGGTCTGCAGGGAGGAGAAATTTGGTGCAGGATCCTTCGTGGTATTTATTTAACATGTGGTGTTTCGAGGTATATTTGGAAGGTCTAGGCAAAGCTATTTATTGTTGTATCACTACTGGTGCGAAGCACCCGCGCTTGAACCAAGTGGTAAGGTGAAATTATCCAGAGTGTCTAGCAACCAAACTGGTCCTTGATGACCGATGTTGAAATACAACGAAAATCAGTAAAAGTGCTTGATAGCTGATTCTGCACGTTGGTGTTCCACTGTCTGGACATATAGATACTGCGAATCGTGAAGATAACTAATCGGTGCTCAGATGCGATTTCCTCCATGCGATGGGCCATGGAGAATGAAATGAATGAATCGCGTACACTCATGGCTTGAGTGTACGTCTCTCTCGCGAATGAGCATGACAAGGATATGGGGTCTGCTGAGTGATGCATATGAGTGGAGAATAAGAAAATCGGAGGTTTAGGTCAGAGGACGTCAAGCGTACCTATCAAACTACTGATGAGGCATCGACTGCGATATCCTGTTGGAGCCCTCGCTAAGCGCGACTATCAGAGTAAAGTACCTCACGAGATACAGATATGGATCACAGTCCTAGGCCTGCCATTCCTGTAGGTACTATCGATGGAGACGCGAGGTGCATCGATGGCGGGATTAGGATACGTGTTCGATAAAGCCCCGCACTGAATCCGAAAATAGAAGCACCATGGACGAAAGAAGGATGGCCTAGATGAATAGATACCGAGCTAGATAAGGCATTAAATGATACAAATCCTGGAAGACGCACATTAGGACGACAACACGAACGAAAACCGATATCGGGAATTAGATTGTTGATTTTGTTATTCCGTTTTTGATTAGATCAATCGAATTGACTGAACATACATACTTGGTACAGGGCGTGCCTAGGAGGCCATGATGGTCTCGCTGATAGCTCTTCTCCACAAGGTCTACCCATGAGTCGAGCCCTTTCGACTCAATGAATGTAGGATCGCGAATATTGGAACGGACTTCTTCGGTCCTTGACTTATAGACAAACATCAATGAACCGTGAAAATCGGACCATGAAGCATACACGAATAACGCTAGAGCTAGAGTAGAGGTGATGTGTCTGAGTTCGGACAGCTGATAGCCTAAATTGAGTGAATTCTGAGCGACGCGATATCACAATGTTTGGCTTTGAACCTACGTAATTGGCTCAAGATAGTGACCGATGTGGTTTCTGGATGAACTTGTCGCTGATGGCCCTTCGATGGTGCCTGTGGGTCGAGCCTTGTCTATTGAATGGCTAAGGGTCATGCATAAGAGAGGAGCAGAACGGGCCAGACGAATGCCGACCCAATATCATCCACTGGGAGGCAAAGAAGTTGTAACGAATGGTGCGTGAAGAGTGGAGCTACGCACTATATGGCTGATTGACATCTGTTCAAGCATGATTCAACCATATTTAGCATGATGGCTGGAAAAGAGACTTACGGTGTGAGTATATGTTGTCCTGAATGAATGTGCGTGGTAAGGAGATGATAAATGTTGAGTAGAGAAGAAATTTGGAGCTCAAGTCGAAAGGCATCGAGCGCACCTGGGAAGTATCAGTAAGGTGTCCACCACGATATTCTGACATACGCACTTTGACCAGATCGTACTGGCTCTATCATGTGCCCAAGCAAAGCAAAAGAAGAAGCAACCTGAGTGAGTTATGAAACCACAAATTGATTCGTCAGATCAGCTAGAATACCTGGACGCCTTCATCATCCTCCATCCGGGCGGCGGAGAGAGAGTACGGAATCGTGCATAAAGGTGGAAGTCGGGTTTCGATTATCTGGAGATGAGATGAGCATCGATCATGTGATTGAACCAACTTAAAGTTGACCACCGTGAACAAGTCATGTTGTCGACAACGACTAGTTTCGAGCACGACCCAACTTAATGCGGAATATCATGATATCAAGAGGCTTACAGCTCGAGTAATTATCTCTATTACAGATCCGCATGGCAAGGAGATGAGGTATACTGACTCCTGAGCGGGAAGCAAAACACACCTGAAAAAGTATCACTGATGCACTAACTGTCTGAGCATGAAAAATGTGAGAAGCGATACTGATTGTTAAAGCGTAGATGGCTAACAATACATCCATCCTACTTTCATGCTGTCCTCTTCTACAAATACCCATCTGGGGCAGACATGGGGAACACGATGCGAGAGTTCCGTGAGCTAGGGAAATGAAAGCAGCGTGTCTGAACTCTGACAGCTGATAGCCTGAGAACGACAAATTCCTGATTATCGTCTGTCTGAACACAAACAACAAAGAAAACGAAGGCCAGCGATCGTGAAATTGTGTATTAGGTTTGTATACAGGTCCTTGTGATCTGTTGACACCCATAGAGAAAGTTCCACATCTGTCAGCGTGAAGCATCGAACCAGGTAATGACACGGACCTAATTGTTGATACCATCGTCATTGATCACTGTCACCCCGATTAACATGTCGGTTCAGACAGCTGGTCTCGCAACGGTCCTGCTCAAACATCTAGACCAGTGGGTAGACTCGGGCGAATGGAGTACGAGGGGGGAATTCTGTTTTTGAAAATGAAAACGAAGATTTGCGGAAGCCGAGATGGCTGATAAAGCCATGGTTCTTCATGGATACCACCATCCAGGCTGTCCATGTAGGTGGATTACGAGAGGAAAATAAGTGTGTTGCAGGTAGTAAGAGCACATCCTAGACGAAAGCCCATGAAAATGCTTACCTTGAGCATTGAAATACGTGGTTTGAGCGATGGTTGGGCGCATCGTTCTCAGGTGGGGTCGGTGTAAAGCCTAGGTCTAGATGCAAATCAAGAATGAAGCAATTCTGTTGATGCTCGAGGACGGCGGGCGCATGAGCGCTGTTGTATCGATGGTGAGCCTAGCATATGTCGTCGAGAGGAGTGGAATAGAACAAACAACTTACAACTGGCTAAAACTAGACGCCATAAATAAGCCGTCTCCAATGCCAATGCCAATTTTGTTGAGGTGCACTGCGAGTCTGTCCGATATTGGAATGCGCAGATCCGATTCAGCGCGCGCCGCGGGTGCATCAATCAATGGGCATTCGGATATTGTCCGACGAACTTCACGCGCAGGTCAATCATCGTCTTCCATAACCGATGCAGCAAGAGGGAGTGGTACAGACAGTGTGAGTTCCGGAACGGCCTTCCAGCCTGTTGCTTGCAAAGCTGTAAGCACAATTCTTTAGTTCATTTCTTGACTCCGCAAACGCTGATCATGGTGGACCTGCGCCGTGCGGGCTTTAAATTTAAGCTCAACGTTGGCCGCACCGAACACCACCTCTTTCGTATTATGTTTGGTGCGCGAATCATGAATACAAAATTATTATTGATTTATCGTGCCCAGTACCATTTGCGTCTTTGCCAGCATCCTGCCCCCAAACGGTCAGTTCTTCTCTGGACTATGGGCATAACCAGCAGTGCTTTTGGTGCCTTCACTGAACATAGACGGCGACCAACGTACTTCAGCAAACAAGTCTCCGTGCGCCTGCGACCACGGCGAGATTGGACCTGCCAGGTGTCTTGCCAGCTATCTTATCACCACTCTATTTCCTTGCCTGCAACTGTCTATTCGGTGCGTCGATCAAGCTGTGATTCGCGATTTGTTACAAATGGTTTGTTTGCAAAGCACCACGACCATTTTGTACTTATAACAACAACACATTCCACAACCGTCAAAGCACCTTCGAACTTCGACCCTCCGACAAGTTATTTTCGAACCTTGTTTCCGTTTTTCCGTCGATAAAAAATCTCAAGCCTTCATTTGTCGCCGTAATTTGGTGCTGCCACAGGTAACTATATCATAACTTTCATATATTCAACACTGGATGGAGCTACACGGGAACGATGGGTCTCACTCTTACAGGATAGGAGTTTACTGAAACACGATGCCATCAAGATGAGCCTGTACAATCAGAAATCTGGCTTCTGGCGCGTTGCTGGTTTACTGTCTCCCTTGTAAAATTTTCGACATACATCAATCACGAACCAGGATGTATCTGGCAGTACATTACACCGCCATGATATCAAGTGCATGATGCATTGAACATAGTGAGCTTTGCGTCGGATTTGCTCTATGCTTACCATCTCTCTGTTCATCATTCTGATATGATCATGATAGCCCAATGATTCGAGCGTACCAGGCGACGGATGAGGTGAGATATATTCGGTCCACTCTGTCATGGTTTATTGTCTGAGTTCCGCAGAATGACCCTTGTTCCATAAGAGTAATTGGAGGGCTGTTACGCCTCGGGCTCAGCCAGCAATGCCGAAAAGTGTGTAAATACTCGCTTCTCGCATATCACACTTTGACCTGTGTTTGATCGACGACTACATGATTTCATAGGGAACTCTTCAATTTTTGCAAGCTCACAGTAAACACGCAAAAAAAAAATGTTGGAAATGAGTTGTCGACATCATGAACAACTGGAACTTTCCTGGTGTTGAAGTATTCCCCTACGTAATAGTGATTTGGAAATCAAAATCTACTTTGATTACCGGCTTTTGTTTGATTTCGCACCCTTTCACCTGATCAAGGGTCTTGAGGCGAAATCAAATTTCCATCTCCATCACGCTGATTGTGGTGATACAAGCGCTGAACGGTGGTATATCTAGCACGAACGCTATCGTCATACACCACTGACATTCCCCACTCGCTCACCCATCCCTCGAACATGACCTACAACTCAAATGATCCCAGTTGGTGGCCGACAATCAATTTCGATATTTTGTTCACCTACTGGACAGGTTCGTCACATTAGGATGTCCAGATCTAACGTTGACATGCAGTTTCGCAGTTGGTGCTGGCGTCGTGGTGGTATACGATTGGGGTAAGCAGGACAGTGTTTAAAAATCGCTGATATTCTCATCATGGTTCCAGTCTTAACACTCGGACAAGAGGTACGTTGATGTCATCGCCGGAGCAGCCAACTCGCTAAGAATGGTGTCATAGATTGAACTCATCTGGGTGAGTGGCAAGAGTCCCGTATCAGCAGAAAACAAGAGCATGCACTGAATTCACGACAGAGACAACGATGGTCTCTCATGACCGTGCTATATTTGATTGTTAGTCACCTCATGTCGTGCTTTAGCGTGGTGGGCAAGTTGTGCTGACTCCAAAATGTTCTAGATACGCTATATTGGAATACCGTTTTTTGTGTATGTCTCGAGACCAACAACTTTACGCGTGCTAATAGTTTATATCTGACAATTAGTGTCTATCTTCTGCGTATGTCTCATATGCGCTACATTTCATTTTCTGACCGGCGAAACACAGCAATTATACCATCAGTATCGCTGACAGATGCAGTAAGTTCTCTACGACCATCTCATGCCTATCCAATGATTCCAATTAATACGCTCATATGCAGGGGTGAGTGAGATTCCAAGCATTGAACCCGGCTCAACATAATGACTTGATAGGTGTAAGTCGGAGTCTTTGATACTAGTGCGAGGGCGTTCACCAATTGGGAGGTTTAGGCACTATCACGTACTACACAGAGAGTGTGATGAATCTAGTTGTAACTGCCATGTTGGGCGGTGAGCCACCCAGGTGCAATACCTCTGTGATATTGGTCTGACTGACACACGATGCAAGTGATCACGATTGCTCGGTTGCATGCCATGTATCATGGATCTAGAAAGATGTTTATCTTCCTTGTTATTATCTTCCTGGCTGTATTCACCACCTGCGGAGTGATCTTGGCAATAGACCTCAAGTACTATGCTGTATGGGGTAGGTTTTACTTGTTGACTTGAAAAACACGGCTCATTGGGTAAACACCAGAGGAGCTAATACCCTCTGGCATAGATGTATGTGGTGTTGGATATGGAGGGGACGGGCAGCTTCTATATTCAATGATTTGGATGCTCAACACTGTTTGGGAGGTCCTCGCACTGTCTTTCAGTTTGGATTGCTGTGAAACACTTTCGTGAGCTGCGACGACTCGGCCTATCGACAGGATCGACCATCGTGGACTGTTTCAGAGTGCTGATACAATCTCATATTCTTTATTTTGCAAGGTGAGTTTGTAATGTGAACGCGGTTATATTTTTCTGCTCAAGTTCCGCACGTGTTAGCTTTTTTGGTGTCTCTTGCTTCCAGTTTGCTATTCTCTCTCCAGAACTCTCGGTGCGCTGACCTGTTGCTGATATCTGCGTGCAACCACTGCTCATCATTTTTGTAGAATTCAAAATTTATTGGAGCTGAGACACTCTCAGGTGCTAGTGTAATTTTAATGATCGTGCAGATGTTTGTGCTGGGACCACGCCTCATCCTTAGCGTTCGAGAATACAACGCCAAACTCGTGGCATCCTCCGACGCAGAAACTAGCATGGATTCGATTGTTTTCCAGGAGCATGTACATGTATCGACTAGCAGTACTGTGTAAGGACATGCTTGCCGAGTGGCCTGCAGGGAAGCGCAATTTGGTGGAGGATCCGTCGTGGTATTTATTTAACATATGATATATTTGAAAGGTTTAGGCAAAGTTATTTCTTGTTGTATCGCTACTGGGATGATGTACTACCCGCGCTTGAACCAGGTGGTAGGGGCAAACTATCCGGAACGTCTAGTAACCAATCCAGTCCTTTGTTGAAATACAACGAGAATCAGTAAAAGTACCTTGACCGCTGATTCTGCGTGTTGGTGTTCCACTGTCCAGACATAGATACTGCGACTCATGAAGCCAGATAGCTGACAACCCATTAGCGAACGAGATACAGACATGCATACATGAATACATACACCGTCGACATGGATCACAGTCATAGGCAAACAAATGATCACTTGGTGAATGAAGAGTCTGATAGCATATCATCGATGGAGACATGTATCGAAGGCGAGATTGGGATGTGATCGATTATGAATATATGAATCGTGATCGAGCACTCAATAGAAGCACGATGAACGGGAGAAGCATCGGCCTAGAATGGTCAATGACACGAACGACAAGAAAAGTATGTGATCGGGAATTCGATCACCGATCTTGTCAGGATTCCAAGTTTTTTCATTTATCTAGATCGAGGGAATTAGACTCACACATGACTAGTTCAAGGCGTACCTGGGAAGCCCAATAGTACTGTTCCTCGCTGATGGCTCTTATCATGTATGCAGACACAACTCACCCATGCCTTCAAGTCCGTTGACCAGTGGCGCGGCTCTTTAGCGCATCGTGGGTCTTACAATAGACTTCATGTGCACCAATGTCATCATCCGTCTGAGTTGTTCGGGTGGGGCGCGATGCGACTGTTCCACACACCAAGGAAAGTAGAAGTAGCGTGTCCGAGCTCAGACGGTTGATAATCCTTGAATTTGACACATCCATGAATGCCCCGGTGTCCTTAGAGTAGTGTGTCGAAGCCCAGGCAGTCGATAAAGAAGAGATCTTGAGAGTGAAGGAAAGCACTTATGTTCTGTCTGAGCAAAAATAATGGTCATGATTCATAAAAGCCAGATGGCCGATGACACCATGACACTGAAGAGCTTATGACAGGATGGCCTTATCAATCACCTGGACGAACAAACAGAGAGCGAAGGGCTGGAAAAGGGAAAGTAGTGGGTTTGTGATAAAGTAGTTGATAGAAGAGAAAAAAACTCACTATGATGTGTCCGAGTTCAAAAAAGAGTAGCCTCCAGAGTGGCAGTAGAATGGTCCTGAGCACGAGGAAGAATGTGTCGGGAGGATCTGTCACAGGAGCAAAACTTTAGTAGTCTCATATATAGACTTAAGTAATAATGTAGGCAGACCAAATACGATAGGTGTTCATTCTAGCTTCGATGGCATCATGAGTGCCTGTCCGTCGAGCTTCACACGCAGGTCGATTCTCGTCTTCCATGACCGATGAGAGTGAGGCAACAAGAGAGTGTGCATTGCTTGCGGTAAGCACTCAATCCTGTTACTACAGCAGCAGGCTTGGTTCATTTTTTGACTCCGCAAACTAGCGCCGCGGGCTTTGATCAAAATTTAGACAAGTTTCAACACTAGCCGCGAACGCATGGAGACCCCACCTCTTGTGTATTATGCTTGGTGCGTGAATGCAAACACTGCTTGACGGTATCATTCATTCATCACCGTGCTTTGGTGTTGCCACAGGTACTAAGTATATCATAGATTCATGTATCCAACACTCGATGCCACTGATCTGCCCTAACACAGGATGAACCTACACTGGAATTCCGGAGCCAAGACAGCCACTGCAACAGTCGAGCTCCTCGAACGACAGAATATCAACATCAAAACCCATGGGAAACCACTGTTTGAAGCGCTCGGAGAACCGCAAAAAGGGCAGATATATGGTGCAGCAACATTCTTATGGCAACCCTTCTAGGTCATGGCGATTGCATCATCCAGGCTGAGGCTTTCCATGCGATGATGGAGAATGGAATGGTTACCGTGCGCTTCATCGCGTGAAGATGTGGTTAGGGTTATACCACGGGTATGGGGGTCACAGGTATGGCGGGTACGCGTACGGTGTCGGGATGTGGTACCCGTTAGTACGGTATACGAGGCGACATGTGACTGTTTTGGATTTGTATCTTTGGCATCCTGTGAAGGTGGAATAAGGATTCTAAAGCGACGTGAGCTTCATGAAGGTCAGACAGTGGTGTCCTTGGTTTATCTGATGGATTTCGCTTTTAGTTTGCAACCTTTACCGACTCCTGCTCAAGTCGGCACAACAAAACATCCCTGAAATACAATGGCTGTACAATCAGAAATCGGGCTTTTTTACTTGCTACAGGTTTCTCGTCTCCCATGTGCGATTTCTCTTTCGACCTAGTATGCATGGCATCTTATATTCAACAGGTACCAATCACACAGCATGA